GAATTTTCATATTCATTTTAAAGTTATCTGGTGTATTATACATTTTCATAGAACAAGGTAGCTGGGTCTGCCTTATCTTTCAGTATATTGTTTGTCTTACACAAATGTTAATATTATGAGTAAACCAAGAAAAACATAGGCCGTATAATAATGTAAACATTGAAATGAACATATGTTACATAAGCTGAGAAGACTGAAACATTATATACTCAGGTAATGACCATATGCTTGCTGTTCAATTAGGAGGGAAGAAACTCCAGTGTTCTTTAATTTGATGAAAATTTCAAATTTATGACTAGTTAATATTTTATTATATGTTAAAAAGAGTTCATTTCAATCAAATGTCAGGCCATCCTTAAAAAAATGTTTGTTTGCAGTAACCCGACCCAGAATTTTCAAGGTGGGTAGGTAGGTCGAGTTTTTTTTTTTTTTTTTTTTATTGAACTTTTCTCCCAAATCAGCATGGAATTTCAAAATGCTGGATAATATATGCTTTGATAATCTGGTAACAATGAATAAATTGATAACTGAATTCTAATTTAATAAGACCTACATTTTACTTCTTCTATTAACCTTTAAAAGAACGAAAACAAAGCACAAGGCATAATTTTCTGATTCAAAAAAAAAAAAAATTATCCAGACCATGAAAAAAAAATTTGAGTAGGGGCAAATTTTGTGAGTCGGTCGCGTTACTGCAAACGAACATTTTTTTAAGGATGGCCTCATAATATATGATTATAGAAGTGGAAAAGCTTCTGTCGATCAAAGTTTATATTTTCATATAGTCTTTATGTATTATTATGGGTGGGACATAGTTAACTTTCAATGTCAATAATAAAACAATTAATGGTTATAAATAGAAAAAACTTGATTTGCCGTCTGACAAGGCTCTATGAAGTTGGCGTTTTTTTTTTAATATCCCCAAAATTGATTTTTAATGAACAGTTTCAAAAATAATACAGGGGACTGGACAAATCCATTTAAGAAAGTTAGCAGTTCAATGTGAAATGTATGACAAATTGGATGCAGTGTTATCATTAATATTATCAATTGTTACAATAATGTTGCATGATAAGATAGCATAATATCTAACAATACACAGATAATGTCAATGTTTTTATGAGCTATATGGAAACAACAAACAAGAAATATTAACAAATCAATTAAAGTGTATGTTTTGTTTAAATGTCGGCTTTCATTGGAATTTCATTCGAGTGGCAATACAGTGAGTCAGTGAACTTGTAGCATAAACAGAATATCATGTTGATCAAAGAATAGTTAATAAGCAATTCTGATGATACAGCTTCAAAATTCAATATTCTAATGATCAGTTGGTGTAACACTGTCATGACATTTGTGGTCTTTATTTGTGGTCATGTGATCTTACTGAGCATTATAGTCATGTGATAACTTTGTGGTTGTTGATTTATAAATTAATGATTTATTGTGAGTTACAGTAATGTCTATATTACTTTATTTGCTATTTACTTAATATGGCTGATGCACTGTAAAAAGTCATTACAGTTAGTCAAACATAATATAAGTTTGACAGTTCTTCAAACTAATGATAACCAATTAGCAATTGATGTAGTTGAAAAATTCTCTCCTCATAATAACATAATTATGTATTATGTCTATGCACTTGTGAGGTATATATTCATTACAGTTCATGAAGTGAATTCTTGATAGTAAATACATGTAGTAACAAACTATTTCAAAAAATTTTCTTAGCTCTTACCAGTTGCTAAATATCTTAAATTTACGTGTCCATCTTTAAGTATAGCTGAAATCATTCATCACTTTTAGGAAAAAATATTCAAAATAATGTACGAAATGAATACTGGATAGGTGCAGACCATGATCAGACAACACCAGAGTATGCGAAGTGTGGTCTGCACTGTTTGTATGCATAGAGCAGGCTTATTTGGATACTGTTATTTCATAAGGACAAGAAGCAGATAAAGTATAATTATGATTTTGCCTAGGTCACATAAACTGAATTTTGGGTAAATTGGCCATATTTTGTTTGAATATTGACTAATTTTTATGACAGTACAAGTTAAGAGGCTTTCTCTGTTCTTGAAGTGGATTTACTTTTCTGAAGTGCCACCGGGTTTGAACTTTTCACCTGAACACATTATTGATGTTGATTTAGGCAAACAAAAATTTTTACCTGTAAAGAATTTTATGAAACCAGTAAGAGTATAAATTTGTATTTCTGAACTTGTTTCAGGTAACAAAGAACATGATCTTGTTAAGTCTTTGGATATGTAGATGATGAGTGATGCTATAAAATGGTTTTTGTGTTGTGATGATGTGATGTTATTTTTGGAAATGATTCAGACACCTGATGTCTTATGGGTCATTTACCTAATTAATTGGAACAGTGATACAAGTATTTTAACACCCCCAAGTTTTAACATTATGTGTCATAAGGGTATCTCATTATTTAAATGTAGTTTGATAACGTAAAAAGATATCAGTGTTAAGAGATAGGGGGAAAATATAGATGATTTAATCATATATACATGTATATATGACAAAGTAAATAAATCATGTTGTATAAGTCCTCTTATACAAATTGATAAAGGGAGGTAATATTTTAATTTAATTAATGTTAGTTTGCAAGAGTGATTGGTACCTGGTTTTTGTTGTCTTGGTAATTGAATGAGAGCACTGCCCCAAATAGCTCAATAGGTAGAGTGTACTGGGACTGTGACTTTATGACCTGGAGTTCAATTCTTGGACAGTGCAGGTCACCGTCAATGTTTTGATTGACCATGAAATCGTTCCTATGGTCATTACCAGTGCTGTACCACTGTTCTGGTACATCTAGTACTGGTAAACTGCTTACAGCCCTAGCCCAAGACCGGAGTGTTGCTGAACTGTGTTCTGGTGAATTCAAAGTGGCTCAAGCCATGATCCAGAAGGTAGACTACAAACACCCACCCCCTAATTGAATAAGAAGATGCATTATTTGAGACAAATTGAAAAAGATAGTTAATAGTTGGATTTTTACTACCAGCAATATGTGTTAGAACATTGATTCTCTAGGGGCTAGACTGCTTAAGTTGCTTTAATCTGACTAGCTAATTTAGCTCTAATTTAAAACATGTTTACCAGTCTCTTTGTGTATTGATTTACTCATTTCATGTGATTACTTTTATCTTCTCCTTTTATCTTATTTGTGTGTGGAAGTGAATTTCATTACAGTTGGTTTTTTAGAGAGAGAAAATGTGTTAAGGCTACATTACTATAATATATAACATAGAATTCAATTTTATTCCAATTCTTTGCCTTTTGTTCATATTTACACTTTGAACTTTGTCAGGAATTGCTAGAGATATATCAATAAGAAACTATTTCTCTTGTCCGACATATTTTGAGAGCATCACCTGGTTGAGTCAGACTACAGGCTCTTGTTTCCAAAAACATTAAAAATTAGATTCATTTTGATGCAAAATATTTTTTTATTCAACTTTAAGCTTTAAGAAGGAATAATCTTTTTGTTTGGATTATGATGAAATTATTTCTATTTATTTCACAGTTTTTTTAAAAGATAACAATCTTTTAATTAAATATTCAAATTAAACACAATTTAATATTCTTTGCAGATTATTTTCAAGTAGTTGGAAATTAAAAACGTGTTTTATCAATTGTCAAATGATAACTTGCGCAACAAATTAAACATGATCATCCTGCCTAACCTGTATTTTATTGTTGACCTTTTATTATATTAACTATACATCGTCATGTATATACTTTATATATATGAATGTGAAAGTCTTTAATGCCAGAAGAATTTTTACTCAGATTAAATTCTTTCAGCATTAAAAAGTATTGAGTAACTGTCATTGTGACCCTATCTTTTAGTGAAAAACCCAGATTTTGAAACTTTTTATGAGATTTTTAGTTCGTAAGTGATGTAATAAATTTGTAAGGGTATATATTTCACAGTGGAGAAACAGAAGAGCTATTGTTACTTTATCAGTAAAAGAATGTGAAGAATTCTGTGTATAAGTTAATATTTTTTTTTGGCAACAAAATTAGAAAAGAAAATGTATGATCTCAGGTTAAGGAGTTTACTGAAGGGGTTGTTTTGACATCATCAGGGGCTTTCAGGTTGTTGGTCCTTTACAATGCCATTGGAACATATTGGCCATTTAATAAGCTGAGATTATAAATATAGCCATTTAATAAGGAGAGATAATACAGTAACATGCATGATTAATAGAATCAGCTAGATGCAATACTTTGTATTTGTTGATTGCTGTTTATGCAGTCCATTTGTGTTCATGATTAATTTATTGAGGGAATTTAATTAATAACCATCTTTCCGCCATGTGATAATGGATTGCTTTTAACTGTATGACCTAGAATTTCAGTTTAAACCATTATTGTGACCCTTCCTGTATCACGGATCAATTGTATGTTGCATGTATAAAAATTGTATTGATTCTTCTATGAAAAGCTTTTTTCACAAGGAATGAATCACAATTACGATATATTTATAATAACAACATACTGTAAGGAAGTTTTAAGAAAGATTAATTACGATAAAATTATATGAATTCTTTTCTTGAATTCAAAAAAAGATTGATATAAAATATTATTATAAAATCAGTGTGAAAACTGGATCAGACTGTATTTCATGGGCCAACTTGAGGCTAATTATTTGTATTAACCAAGTTTAAACTCATTTTAGACTCAGGTTTATGGAAAAGACATTTAATTGCATCGTAATTGCAAATAATTTGAACTACTGGTCTATTTAATTTGTTATTATTTGATCATCATATCATTGTAAAACATCTTCTGGTTGAAATCTTAACTAAAGTATTAACAACAGTGGCACCAACTTGGGTGGAGAGGGGGGTGCAATACTCCTTTCATTGTATTAACAAAAAATGTGTAATTCTTGTACCTTAATAGCATTTTAGGGCTCACTGTAGATATATTTTAGCTCCTTATTAATGTTTTATATTTATGTATATTTCCAGGTGGTGAAGAAAGATGCAAGATGGAAAATGGAGGAGGGGAGAATGACCCTGTGTCACAGTTGTTCGACCAGTTCTGTCATGCCTCAACATGTCGTGCCATCATCTCATCATTTCAGCAGCTCTGTGACGCCGTCGGCCTCAGCCACGCAGATCATCGAAACTTCTATAGGAAATTAAGATCTCGTATACACACATGGAAAGCTCACGCTCTCTGGGTAAAACTCGACAAACGTGCCAGCCATAAAGAATACAGACGAGGGGAGGCATGTGCAAATACAAAGGTAGATAACTGAATTAATATGTGAATTTACATGTGTACATCTTTCATTAAGATTCAATTGAATGATATTATCTTGGAGTAATATGAAAAAAGCATAACAAATATTTGATAATCTGATAATGTATGATATACTGATATTTTTGTAATTTATAATTATATTGCTAAATATCTAAAGTCCATGGCTTCTAGTTAGTAATGTTTTCTGATGATTAACAATAATATGGTTATCTTTATACTTTAACAGTCAACAGGCCTGATTATTATTATATTGCTACATGTTTGAAGTTCATCATTGTGTCTTGGGAGTTGATTTCATTGAATTAACTGACTGTTTCAAGTCATGTTTTTTATATCAAGCTGAAAGTAGAAGGTTTATGTTTTGTTTAGGACTCCAGAATGTGCTAGGAGTATGTCAAGATGAGTTTTAATAGAATTCTGCTCATATTTTTTGCTGATATTTGTTACTGAATATGAATTGTGAATGAATTATCTCTTTGTTTTATCTGATAATTATATTTATTTCTAGGTTATTATCATTGGAGGAGGAATATGTGGTCTACGTGTTGCCATAGAAACTGCCTTATTAGGTGCAAGGACAGTGGTAGTGGAGAAACGTGATAGGTTCTCACGCAACAATGTCCTTCATCTCTGGCCGTACCTTATCGTTGACCTGAAAAATCTTGGTGCTAAAAAGTTTTACGGAAAGTTTTGTGCTGGGGCCATAGATCATATTAGTAAGTATAAATTTCTTTATATAAAGTCAGATTAATAATGTAATATAGAATGTTATTTCCAAGTTTTCTACAGCTTTAACAGGCTGTTTAACCTCTGTCCCTCTAAACTTTGAGTAACAGCCTTGCCTTCATTGATTTTGTTGATGTCCGGCATATCAGTCTAGTATAGTCTGACCGAGTTTGGGATTAAGGCGTTAATATTTTTTGCTTATTCATAACATATTAAAACAAAGATACATTGTGTTGTCAATTTACAAATCAAGTAAATAAAAAGATTTTAAAAAAGAGAAAAAGGTATGAATGTTTTATATGTGTCTTTATGACATTTAAAGTCATCAAGTTGATCTGAATTTTTATTTAGCTGTAATAAATTAAAGAAAACAGAATCCCTAAAGAAAGCCCAAAACGACAATATTGGAAATGTTGCAGGGTCGGTTTGATTGAGCCTGTTCATAAGCTTTGTATATTAAAGGACATAAACACCTGTGTAACTATGGTTTAGATAATGTTTGGTGCTTGGGACTGTTTTGTTATATAGTGTTCAACATGTTATTGTTACAGGTATTCGACAATTGCAGTGTATCCTGCTGAAAGCAGCTTTAATAGTAGGTGTTGAAATCCACGTCAATGTTGGTTTTGAAGATATAATTGAACCTACGGCTCCCGGCCAAGGCTGGCGTGTCAAGGTCGATCCAGAGAATCATCCTTTGTCCGAGTACGAGTTTGACGTCCTTATCGGTGCTGATGGCAAACGTAATACGTTACAAGGTATATAAAATATTAATAGACTACTATTAGTAATACGTCCATTTACTTGATTAAAATCAATATATTTTATCAGCGACTTTGTGTAACAGATTTATCTGGTTTTGTGTTTGAAACTGTTCGATGTCAACAAAGGGAATTCCAGAAAGTGTGAAGTGTTAAAGAATCAATGTGGCTGAAAGAAATTTGAAAAGTCACTGTATGAATCTGTTAATCATTATAACACAATAATGGTGATATGTGGTTGTTGTTCTTTGCATTTGCAAAATAATTTTACTTCTTGTTGCACTGTAAAATGTGCTTAATACTTATATAGCATCAAATTTGTGTGAAAAGATACAGTGATAGACACATTTGCTTGTTCTATATTTAGTTTGTCTTTCTGTGATAATAAATTGACTACAAACTAGAGAATAACGGAATCCTTAAAGATTACCAAAACAACAAAAGTGAAAATGTTACAGGCTCAGTTTGATTGAGAACCAAGCCTGTACAAGTTTACAGACTGTGATAATTTTTGTCAGTGTGATGACCATATTTTCAGAATAAGACTAGAAACATTTTGTATTCCATGAAAATTGATGAGTGACAGTTTTAGTATCTAATCATATTGAATAATGAGAAAATAAGATAATCATACTAAATTGAGATAATTCAAGAATCATGCCTCCAGTCTGATATTTCAGCCTTGAATATTTTTTCCTGAAAAAAATCTAAAATAATTGTTGGCAAATCTCATTAATTTCAATTAATAACCTCAATGTGTAATAGAAAATAGATGTTAACCAGATGTTTGTACACTGCAGATCACAAGATGTGATATCAAATGTGAATATATTTAGTAATAATGTAGATAGAGATGGAAATTTGCCATTGCTGTCATTGTTTGTACCTATTTTTAGCCAAGTGAACCTCATTTAAGTCACAAATCTTCCTATTTATTGTAGAATATTCTGTCTTAACAATGTTTCCAAAAAAATCGCCAGTTCTATCATTATTTATAATTATAAACTTTAAGCTGTGTAGTTATAAGAAAAATATAAAAAAAACTTTCCTTTATTATTGACAAAATAATTTTTATATTATCAAGGTTTTAAGAGAAAGGAGTTTCGAGGGAAGCTGGCCATTGCCATCACTGCAAATTTCATCAACCGGAACACACAGGCTGAGGCTCGCGTCGAGGAAATCAGCGGTGTGGCATTTATTTTCAACCAAAAGTTCTTCAAGGATTTGAACGAGGAGTGTGGGATAGATTTAGAGAATATAGTATATTATAAAGATGAGACCCATTACTTTGTCATGACAGCGAAAAAACAAAGTCTTCTTGAAAAAGGAGTCTTAAAAAAGGTAAATTGTTCATTAACAGAGTCATTATATCTAATTTGCCTAGATAATCAAATCAGTAGCATATTTTACAAGATTAATTATCAAGTTGTAACTTATTAAAATCATAATTTCAGAATATAACCACTGAGGAAACAAATCTTTGCATTTTCCAAACATATATACATGTAGATAGTTATTTCTATCTGTACTGTTATTTTAAGGTTTGTTGATTAATTAAATTGACATCAACAAAAATTTGATTTAAATTTTAGCTTGACTATTTTAAGAACAAGGAGAGCTATCCTAGTCCCCCAAGCATCAGCATAACCACTTATGTTAAAGTTTTCGTACCACAAGAAATATTTTATCCATTGGCATACGGGTTTGAAACTTTTTACACTTGTTTAAACCGCCTCTGTGGTCGAGGGGTTAGATTTGATGACTTGTAATCCAGTTACCTCTCTGGCGTGGGTTTGATCCCCGGGAGATGCTTTGGTAGTTTAGCGCGAAGGAAGGTAGTCTAGTACGGGTGTAACTCTTCAGGAACCATGGTTAGGAAACTACCCGCCTGTTTGACTGAAATACTGTTGGGAAAAGGCGTAAAATGAAATAATCAAACTAACAAACACTTGTTTACCATCATGCCCCCAACCTGTACACAGGATGAGGTTATCAAGCATTTTGACAGAATAATGCCCCTTTTACATTTAAGTAAAATTTTCAAAAGTTAAGCTAATCTGGTCATACTAGGGCATCTTAATTCAGTAGGCTATAACGAACACGATATATTATAATCCTATTGTGTTGCCTATATATGTTATTGTATTATAGGACTACTCAGACACAGCTGTGTTACTGTCATATAATAATGTGAACCAAGATGCCTTAGCTAACTATGCAAAGGAGGCGGCAGATTTCTCAACCAAACATATGATGCCTCACCTGGACTTTGCTGTCAACCACTATGGAAGGCCAGATCTGGCTATGTTTGACTTTACGTCTCTGTTTCAAGCCGAGAACTCTTGTAGAGTCCTTGAGAGACAAGGGAAGAAACTCTTGACCATGTTAGTAGGGGATAGTCTTCTTGAAGTAAGTTTCTATATTGATAATTTTTTTTTTCCAGATTTTTTTTTTTTTTTCAAATATGTAATAATGCTAAGTAAAATTGTATGAAGTAAATTGAATGAATACAAATCATATGATGATTGTACTGTTTAGTAAATGAAGAGCACACCCTGGTTAAAAATTTCCTGTAGTCAAATTTGTTGACTTGTGACATTTCAAGATTCACATGAAATTATAGTAGTCAAATACATAAATTAATGCGGGAAAAAATTTACTTAGTGAAAATTTTATTTTCAGCCGTTCTGGCCTACAGGATCCGGTTGTGCTCGAGGTTTTCTAGGGGCATTTGATGCTGCCTGGATGATCAAGCAGTGGTCCTCTGGCAAGATGACCCCACTACAGGTGATAGCCGAGAGAGAAAGTGTGTACCAATTACTGTCTCAAACTACCCCAGAAAACCTGCGGACCAACCATGCTCAGTTTACCTTAGATCCAGCTTCTAGGTTGGTACAATTACAGAGCTTACACTTAATCTGCTAACAGATTCTACCCATGAAACCAGTGCAAATTATGAATTATGCTGACTGTTCATGGCTTATCAGATCATGGTCTGCACTGTTCCCTTTTCAGTGAAAATTTTACCTAAAAATGATAATGGTTTTGTCCTTATTGAAGATTGAACAAGTCCATTTAAGATACTTAGAGTGGTAATGGTTCAAAGTAGGAAGCCAGGACGACCTATAAATTTAATGTTGCTAGCTTTGAATAAATACTTGCCTCAATTCTGTTCAAACTTTGCTAGGACAGGCATGTTATTTTTCATTGGAAGAAGCTTTTTTAGTTTGGCAATAAAAATTTGATTTTCCTTCCTTTTATGATGAAATATGGTAATTATATAATTAAACAACAAAGGTATTAGAAACATTATCCTGAAGAGGAAACAAAACTGAGAACAAAACATGCACAATTCTTGTTTATTTATCAAAAGTTTTTGTTCCATTAACATATTACGCTCCTGTATTAAAGGTAACAGTGTATTGTAGATCTTATTCAAGATATCTCTTCGGATTTATTGACTTAAATATAGCTGTCCATTTTCCTGGGATGTGAACCAATGTTAGATTTCTGATTCATATATTATTCATTCCCATTGTGTGACAGGAATGATGTAAGAGCTAGACTCTTAATCTGGTTTTTTATTTCAAGATTTATCTTGGTGACTGTGCACAGTCTTCGACATTTAGTAGAACTGGTTTAATCCAGTGAATTTCAAGTTGTGATAATTATGACCTTAGTTTGTTATGTCAGTATGCCTAAAAAAATTGTTTTGACCTTTACTTTGCTTTTATTAACAAGGCACATTTTATCATATCATTTAATTCATAAGATTTATGTTTTGAAGTCAAAGGTCAAATATCCTGTTATTATGTCAAAGGTCAATGTCAAGTATATTGTTAGAATGTATAAGGTCAATGTCAAATATCTTGTTATTATGACAAAGGTCAATGTCAAATATCCTGATATTATGTCAAAGGTCAATGTCAAGTATATTGTTATAATGTATAAGGTCAATGTCAAATATCTTGTTATTATGACAAAGGTCAATGTCAAATATCCTGATATTATGTCAAAGGTCAATGTCAAATATATTGTTATTATGTTTAAGGTCAGTGTCAAATATCTTGTTGTGTCAGAGGTCAAGGTCAAATATCCTGTTATTATGTTAAATGTCAATGATGAATATCCTGTTATTATGACAAAGATCAATGTCAAATACCTTGTTATTATGTCAGAGGTCAATGACAAATAACCTGTTGATCAATGTTAAATATCCTGTTTTTATGTCAAAGGTCAATGTTGAATGTCATGTTATTCAGTCTTGAGTCAATGCTAAATACCCTGTTATTATGTTGTAAGGTTAATGTTGAATTTCATGTTATTTGGTCTTGGGTCAATGTTAAATGTTTTGTTATTTTTTCAGAAGTTAATGTTAAATGTCTTGTTATAGAAAAATTTATAGGTTGCAGTAAAAAAAATAGACTTGATTTCTTTTCTTTTCTATATACCTTAGACACTGCATTTTATTTTTGTATGTTTATATGTTAATACATATGTTAATACCTTTGTACCATTATATATAATAGTCTTTATTTGTATGTTGGCACCTTGCAGTATTTTCTTGCCAAAGCAGTGAATTCTGATTACGAAAAAAAGATCCAAGCTAATTTAGTTGGTATTCAGAATTGATTCCAGAACACAAATGAAGTCAGAGTGGTTTTAAGTCATTGCAAAGGTGATGAAAAAAAAAAATTCTGGTGCCAGTTTGTGTTAATTTCAGGTACGCAATAATTATTAAGCGGCATTATTTGAAGTTAATGCACAGGTGATGTAGATAATTCAGTGGGTATATATGTTAATTTCAGATACACTAATATGAAGTCAAAGTGGTTAAAACCGAAACAAGTGATGCACTTATATGACACTGGTGATAATACTCTCAGGGATGAAGTCATAGAAATACCAGCTAAATCACCTCAAGATGGTAATTATATCTCTTATGTCATTTTTACTTTAAACACTTCTGAAACTGTTTTTATGATCATAAGGGAAATTCTGATGGTATATTTTAAAGATACTTTATTTGAGCTAAAGACCCTTGCAATAATCAAATGTGTGTAATAGTTAAGTGAATAAAATGAAATCTAGAAGAAAATTTATGAGAAAGATTAGAATTTAGTTTCCTTTTGGGATCTCTTTGGATGAATTTAAAGTAATCTCATTGACCTTAGATTACTTTATTCTTTAAATCCTGTATGGTATTTCATGGAAGGTAAATAGGTAATTTAGATCATCTTTTACTTCTTAAGCAGCAACATAGATTTGATTTATACTCAGTCAAAAGAAATTAGTGAGGAAAGGCAGCATCCTCAGCTGATTCAAGGACATTTGCCCCCTTGGACATTTGCTCCCAAAAAGGAAGATTAAGTGATAAAAACTAACCAGGATATATTATGCCAAGCTTTGTTTTTCCTTCCAATTTGTTCTATATTTATACGGCAAATATTAACATGGTTGGTGGAGGCAAATGTCTGCCCTCCAAAATTTCAAGGAGGGCAAATGTCCATCTTTCCAAAACAGATGAAAGGGGAGAGAGGGGCAATTGAGGGGACAAAAGCTACCAAGATAAAAGTTGAAATCTTCCTGAAAACAAGGAATTATTATTTGCTGACTTTGCTGTTTGGAATGAAGTCTGGGATTATTTTTCTGAGATACAATTATTGTAAGTGTTAATAACCTACAAAATTGTCAGGTTTATTACTATTAGGTAATGGTAATACAGTCTGACAGGTTACTCACCTTTACCAGTATAATGATGGAGGAATTTATTAATTGAAAATAAACAGTACTGGTATGTGACATGCAAATAGTTTTGGCACCATGATGTGTCTAGACAATGAAGCTATTTATAGGCACATGTCTTTGTATCTGAACACACTAGTCCTTCTGGTATCTGTTAGGTTTGTTGTGTGTGGTAATAATGTAATATTAGCAATAATTAGGTTAAGACAAGTTTGACCACAGCAAATTATTTCTCCTGTATCTAGGTGTACATGACCGTTTCCGCTCATTCCATACAATATTTCAACTATCTTGCCTTTAAGTTTATAACATGTCCTCATTGAATCAGTTGCTTTTACCTATTCACCCCACCCCCACACTCCCCACCTTCTTTACAACGGTAGGGTTGAATCCCACTAGAAAGTAATGTTTTTAAATTACGAGGATGCTGTTGAGTCAACTTAGTAAACAATAGGTTAGTAATTTTACTCAGGTGCCTGAAAAAATTGCATAGAGGGACGGACACCATAGGTCTTCAAGATTTTGCTTTGAATGTTTTCATAAATGGTCACTTAATTTTATCTGTCAATTCTTATTAAACCTGGGTATTGTTATTTAAGTGAATGATACCTTATTTCCACAAAATGACATTATATAACAACACACAGCATAAGACATGTACAGAGGTGATAGATATGAAAAATATGCTATGGTACTGATAAATGTTCTTAATTATTTGTAATTTTCCCATGCTATAAATAACCTTTTTGCATGTACCGTTATAAACCTTCATAATGTAGTAATAATTCTTTGATATATTATCTAAGTTATATCCATGTACTGCCATTTAATGATGTCATTTCTATGCAACGGTTACTATGATGTATTTTGTTTTTTTCTTTGGTATTTCAGATGTTATAGATACCTATAGTTTATTACGCTGGTGTCAGAAGATATTGAACACTGGGAAATATCATACAATAAACGTCACAGACCTGTCTTCATCATGGAAAAGTGGACTCGCCTTCTGCGCTCTGTTACATTTCTTCAAACCTGAGGCCATGTAAGATATTATTTACCAACTCTATATGCACTAATAGTGATCAGGACATAATCCTTGGCCAGCTGAATTGGTGTAATGGATGCTTTGAATTTGGAACAGTCCATTTGAAAATTAAGGGATTTCAGTTTCGAAATAGATAAAAATTGAGCTACCTATGATATAGAGGATGTCAGACTGCATGGATATACAGGCTGGCGCCTGACTCTATATAAGTGACAAAGGCTTATCACTTTTGGTTTCAGCATGTTAACTGATGCTAAATTTCTACATTTTGAATGGAATGATCCAAACTCATAGCAGAGTATGTCAAACATGAAATTCATATATTTCACGCATAACATGTTAAAGAATGTTATGTAAGCTAATCTTTATTAGAAATCATTGTATGAAATTTTGTACATAGGTGTATTATATTCAATTTAGTTTTCAAAATAAGCATAAATAAGGCAAACTTTTCTAACAAGGATTGTGTTTAATATTTCTCTTTATTATGATGCATTTTAAATTGGATAATAACTTCAGAAAGTCAAGCAGTGAAATGATATTTGCTGAAAAAAATAAAATGCTTTTTGTGACAATGAGTGTTAAGTATTTTACTTGTGAACTAAGTACATTAATGAGTTAACTTATATTCAATTTAAATTGAAATTAAGCGGTTACTGCTCTTAATTGATTTTTATTGAATAATTTATGTTTATTTTTCACCAAGTATAATAGTTCTACTGTCCAGTATATTTTAATATATTAATATTTTATATATTAATGTTGAATTTTCAGTGAATATGATAGTTTAAATGAAGCAGATGTAGTAAAGAACAACCAGCTTGCATTTGACGTAGCACAGCAGGAGTTTGGTATAAATCCTGTATTGACAGGGGAAGACATGGCTAACTGTGATAAACCTGATAAACTTACCATAGTCTCGTATCTTTCCCAGTTTTATGATCTCTTCAAGAAACAGCGCCCACCTAGTGGTGAGCATTTTACTTTATTTTGAGAATATAATTTTTATATCCTTAAAATGAATTTTTAGCTCACCTGTCACAAAGTGACAGGGTGAGCTTTTGTGATCGCTTTTCGTCCGGCGTCCGTCCGTCCGTCGTCCGTCCGTCGTCCGTCCGTCCGTAAACTTTTACTTTAAATGACATCTCCTCATAAACCACTAAGCCAATTTCATCCAAACTTCACAGGAATGTTCCTTTGGTGGTCACCTTCAAAAATTGTTCAAAGAATTTAATTCCATGCAGAACTCTGGTTGCCATGGCAACCGAAAGAAAAAACTTTAAATATCTTCTTTTAAAAAACCATAAGAGCTAGGGCTTAGATATTTGGCATGAAACATCTTCTAGTGAGTGTCTACCAAGTTTGTTCAAATAAAAGCCCTGGGGTCAAAATTGACCCCGCCCCAGGGGGTCATTGATTTTCCCTATATGCATATAGTAAAAACTTAAAAAATCTTCTTTTAAAGAACCCAAAGAGCTAGAGCTAAGATATTTAGCATGAAACATGTTTCTAATAGGTGTCTACCAAGTTTGTTCAAATAATAGCCCTGGGTCAAAATTGGCCCCGCCCCGGGGGGTCATTGATTTTCCCTATATGCATATAGTAAAAACTTAAAAATCTTCTTTTAAAGAACCAAAGAGCTAGAGCTAAGATATTTAGCATGAAAATGTTCTAATGGGTGTCTACCAAGTTTGTTCAAATAAAAGCCTGGGGTCAAAATTGGCCCCGCCCCAGGGGGTCATTGATTTTCCCTATATGCATATAGTAAAAACTTAAAAAATTCTCTTTTAAAGAACTCAAAGAGCTATGGCTAAGATATTGAGCATTAAACATGTTCTAATAGGTGTCTACCAAGTTTGTTCAAATAAAAGCCCTGGGGTCAAAATTGGCCCCGCCCCAGGGGGTCATTGATTTTCCCTATATGCATATAGTAAAAACTTAAAAAATCTTCTTTTAAAGAACCAAAAGAGTTAGAGCTAAGATATTTAGCATGAAACATGTTCTAATAAGTGTCTACCAAGTTTGTTCAAATAAAAGCCCTGGGGTCAAAATTGGCCCCGCCCCGGGGGTTCATTGATTTTCCCTATATGCATATAGTAAAAACTTAAAAAATCTTCTTTTAAAGAACTCAAAGAGCTATGGCTAAGATATTTAGCATCAAACATGTTCTAATAGGTGTCTACCAAGTTTGTTCAAATAAAAGCCCTGGGGTCAAAATTGGCACCGCCCCGGGGGTCATTGATTTTCCTTATATGTGTATAGCAAAAACTTAAAATCTTCTTTGAAAAAACCCAAATAGCTAGAGTTTAGATATTAAGCATGAAACATCTTCTAGTAAGTGTCTACAAAGTTTGTTTAAATAAAAGCCCTGGGGTCAAAACTGGCCCGGCCCAGGGTGTCATTGTTTTTAACTATATGTGTATAGTAAAAACTTAAAAAATCTTCTTTTAAAAAGCCCAATGAGCTAGAGCTTAGATGTTTAGCATGAAACATCTTCTTATGGGTGTCTACCAAGTTTGTGCAAATAAAAGCCCTTAGGTTAAATTGGCCCTGCAACGTTGGGGGGGGGGGGGGGGGTTGGGGGCCTATATACAGGTGAGCGACCTCAGGGCCATCATGGCCCTCTTGTTTATTGTATTGGTAAGGGATTGATATGGATATGTATATCAATTGGCCAACGTTGACATGCTGAAATGCAGTGTTTATAGTAGAAGATCTCGTGCCATATGTGGCTCACTGTCAGGGTTTGAATCCTAGACTGAATTGGAGACTGAAAATATTTAGATTGGTTTTCAATTAGGCAATGGAAGTTTGGAAAGAAACCTGGAGATTTCATTCTTTCCTTCATAGCAGTAAAACTTTCAATGTGCCAGTTGATGTTATTTAAACCTTCATGATTATGCAGTCAATCTTTTATGAAGAGACCGCTCAAGGGTCATGTCAAATGTGGTCTCTTGATAAAATGGTCTCTTAATATAGAACCAATTTTGCACTGGTTATACAATGTGCTAATTATGATTGCACATAACCAGAAAATAAATTTTTTCTTTAAATATTTTTTCAAACTTTAGAAATTTACGGATAAATAGATATATAAGTATAGCATTTGATTGAATTTTCTTTCTCAATTTAAAAACATCAAAGATTTAAGTAATTTCAAGTTTTGATTTTACATTTTGTATTAACCTTCTTATTTTATTGTATCATGGCTAGTTTACTATCCAAGTTGAAATTGTCAAGCTTTTTAAAATAAATATGCGTATATTTCAGATGATTTCTTAAACAGTAGTTTCGATGAGAATCGTAAACACAGATCACCCAGTCATCGTCTCTCAATTCTACAAAAACTTCGGTCTTCACGAGTCAGTTTGTCTAAACTGAAGAAATCCATAAAGAAAGAGAAGGACCTGACTGATGAATTCAATCAAAACAACAACAATAATAACTACAGTAGAGAAAATGTAACTAAGCTGGCGGGAGTTTTGTCCTCTAACTGGGATCCAAAGACAAGGGACATTACTGTGAGTAGTTTCAAGATGCAGTCATATCTTGAGTTACTTTCTGCTTGACTGATCTGTTAGATTATTAGTCTCTTTAAAAAAACAACTTTTGATGAACGTTCTTTTAGTCATACTTGAATTATTTTTTAAAACCATTTTGTAGGATCAAAACGTTATAAATTATACTGGGTGTTAAACTGCAGTGTAATCAAGCCTGGAGGGTCATGTTTTGTTTTTACCTCAACAGTAAAACTTGGAAAATTCGTCAAGTTAAATTGTGTTTAATTGAGTCTGTATGAATCTGTTTTTTAAATGTTATAAAATATAACGACCAGATGTCTTTCTTTTAAACCAATATTAATAATATTTTATATAGAAGTGAAAAATATATAAGTTCTCTCCAGACACCAGCATATTGTAGTATTGAAAGCTTTCGCTTTAAAATGATATTCATCATGCTTTAAGCAAATATTTTCCTTTTTCTATGTAAAATGTGGAGGAAAAGCAGTAAGGTTTAATATAAAATGTAATGACTAATATAGGTAATATGATATCACTTTAAAAATCTTGTATAACATGAATCATCGTGCTATTTATTGTTACTTTTGGGTAAAAAAAGTAAGGATTATTCCTGAATTTTAAGGCAATTAGTTTCCAGTAAAGCTTCTTTTATACCCCCAAAAGGGCATATAGTAATCCAACTTTTTCCATCAGTCTTGCTATCTGAGCAACAAGATTAGGTTTCGGGACAACATATTCATTATTTGAAAAAAAAAGAAGAAAACAGTTAAGACTAACAAAAACAAATGGCCGCACAACTCTTGTAGTAGTTAGGGTACCAGATGTATTGTCCAGTTCATAACTTGTTATTTTGTCACAGACTTTTACTGATGATTCTTTCATGCTGTTATGATTTTTTATAGAATGGTAATGTAGAGTTGACAAGGTACAGCAGACTTCCTATTGATAAAATTTCAAGTCAACTAGGTCAGAGTAACGCCAAAAATGAAATAGTTATACATAAGACTCGTGAGAGCTGTCCGAAGCTACCCATGGACGAAATCACCAACAGACTGACCACTGAAAAACCTGACCAGCTTAAAGATATTAAAATGAAAGAGGAGATGATGCCTGTAGTTAAAGGTCAGTTATTGGTTTATAGAAATTTAATTCTAACAAATTGTTGTGCCTTTTTAGAAGGCGAGAAACAACTTTTCGCTTTTTGATGTCATTGTTTTTAGTATATCAGAATATATTTTAGTTAAATTGTGTTGGAAGCTATTAGCTTATTGAAACACTCTTAAATCCATCCCTGGAACCAACCAGTACTAAGCAATGAATACTTGCCCTTGACGGGGTTTGAACCCACACAACCAGCAATCTTTATATCACTAGTCCAACACGTCAGCTTCTCGACCACTCCGCCTCTCATTGTATTTGCCTTAATCCGAACAAAAACAGCAACTATCCATGTGATTGTATTTATGTTTAATGGCATTGAAGTAAATGAGACAAATAAAACTTCTACAAATAAATTCTTTCAGTATATACAGCAGGGTTTTGCTCAGAATGATAAATTTCTTGTTCTTAACAAAGAATTTGCTGTTGTAAGAGTTTTGTCTTTTTATGCTTACATCGCAGTAAGGTCTGGACTGACAATAAGCATAGACTGTGGTTTTGGATTCTATAAGAGAAATAGCATTTTCTCCTTTAGTAAATGTCAAATTATACTCATTAATCTCTCAAATCAAGTGGGAAGGAATAAATAAATATTCCAAGACAATTGTCTGTGGCCAATTTTGAAGGGAAAGAGCATGGTTTGGAAAACAGCATTTTTATTCCCTAAATTGCTGCAGTAAATTTTGAGAAAAAATATTTTGGAATATAATTAAGTAATGTCTGGTTATAAAAATAAAGGGAAAGGTTTTTTAAAGTGTCACAGGAAGAAGATATGCAGAGTGTTTAACAATTGTCTCATAATCAATCATAAGAATACAGAGCACAGTTGATATTTATATTGATCTACTATATAATGTTCTTTTGTGTTTACAGTGAGCAAGATGGCAGAGTTACTGGTTTCGAAATTTAAAAAGAATAGTGACCAACCCCCACCAGAACCTCTGTCTAGAAAAGTGGTAAGTTTTGCTATTTACCCTCTCTACCCTTCTCTTCCCTCACATTGTATATGGCACTTTGATGGCATACGTTCTTGCCATCATAAGAACTTGATCTTTGTGTTTAAGATATGCAAACTTTTATACTACTTTTATCTACATTTCATGTAAAAGGATTTAGAAGATTTGTTATTTGTCTGTGCTGAAACTATATAAAAAAAATCTTGAGGGAGGTCAGGGTGTTTTTTCCCCGGCCACAAATCTTTGTTATGCAACAAATCATACTGAGGTGTACTTTTACCAGGAAGGCTTGAAAGTTACAATATGACCATAACAGTGTCAGTGCGATTTTAAATGAAACTAAAAATAATGACACTGAATGTTCTTTAACTGACTTGTGCTTTTGAATTAATAGAAAATTATTTTGATTTTTTAACAGATAAATGATTGAAATACCTTGAATGGTAGATGAAACTCCTTTTCCATCTTTTTAAAAAAAAAATTGATGACTTTATAAAAAAAGTTATAAGAATTTTTATATCATATTTTCAACAGAAAGGGCAGCCAATGATGGTAGCAGCCCAGCCGGCCAGTGAATTCTGTTTCTTCTGCGGTAAACGTGTGTATATAATGGAGCGTATGACAGTAGAGAATTTGTTCTTCCATAGTCAATGTTTTAAGTGCGAGTTTTGTCAAGTACAACTCAGGAGTAATACGTATTCTGTGGACAAGAATAATTATGGTGACGGTAGGTTGCTTTTTAGATATTTGCAAATTTAAACCAGGTTTTCGTTGTTGAAAATTTTGGTTATTACTTTGGCGAATGACGGGCTATCGGGCAGTCACAAAATATGTGGTTTCTGGTTGATCACTAAAGTTGGGATCAGACTTGGTATATAGTAAGTTTTATGTGGAAACAGTGCTTTGGATTGCTTTTTGGCCCCCTAGGGTCAAGGTCACTGTTACTAAAAATAGAAAAACAATTTCTGGTTTCATGGCATTGTTATGTTTCTTGTATATGTTTTTCATAGCAAAACATGTACATTTGTAATAATGTTTTTTTGCAAACATGTCATTACATGTCCATTCAATAATTTGAGTCAGTAAAGTGTTGCATTTAACTGAAAATGTTTCAATATCTTTATTAACAAGAAAATCGCCATACCATTTTAAATGGGATTTTTCTATATTTTCAGCATACAGATTCTTCTGTTGTCGCCATGCATTACCTCAGAGTAGGTTTGGTAAGCCAGCTCGTAAACGTGTAGCTGAAGATGCTCCAGATGATGTTTCCAAGAAAAACATTCCAAGTCAACCTGCTGACCTGGGACCAACACCTACCAAAGTTTCTGCAACATCTAGATCTCCTTCCAAGAAAATACCAGGTTAGATTTGTTTAGATTTGTTTACAAAATACCTTTTTCTTTCCAGTTGGCACTGGGTTTTTTTTCCTGCAGAGTTCTTTGTGGCCTGTTTGGAAATTCATTTTAGGGAGTATAAGGCTAGCTAAACTTTTTGCTTGGAAAAGTGTGCCATAAGACTTCCACCACTTTTAATAGAATAAAAATGATACCGACATTGTATCTTAAGAAGTGCTGTTTGAAATCGGTCAAGTTAAGATGTTGCAATGTAATGGAAAAAGTTTATCTGAAAATATTAAAATGGATACTGACTTCATGAAATGTTTTTGTTTTTAGAGCATGTTTGCCTGGTTGCTTTGTACATTGTAAAATTTTCTTTTTTCAGAGATGCTGTCACCTGTCTCAAACCCTGATGATCTTGTGAGTAGTTTGAAGACACCAGAGCGTATAGAGTTTGAGAACACGATCGAGGGATTACAGGAAGAGACCGAGGAGGAGCAGTGTGAGCATAACATGAGCATGTCATTATCACGTGATCACGGGCAACTTTAAAAGGAAGTTCCCTATACGACGAGGGGAAAAGGATTCCGACGACTCTTTTAGATATTATTGTTTTTTAAAATTTTTCAAAAATGGGGTATTCTCTTTTTAAAAATATATAGAAAAAATATACAGAAATGTATGGTTGAAGAATTAAAATTAAATAATATCATACATGATCGTCTAAATAATATGGATAAATCACTTGTACCCACAACTAAAAGTTTCCTTGCATTATAGGGACTGGCCTGTCAGCCCCCACTGATTTTAATGAAGGAATAAAGATAAGGAATTCATTTATGTATGATATAATATAAAGGATTAACAGATTATTGGAGTCAAAATTGAATTATAAACGTAAACATATTTTTTTTCACCATAAGAAAATATTGGAAATTAATTTCAGATCAGAATAAATAAGTTGGTGATCACATAAATGTTTTTGCTTGACCAAACTTATAGAGACTTATAAGTTTATTTAGATTTGATATGGGGAATGAATTATTTACAGTAGATTATATGGTAAGAACAAATTTCAGAGAGCTTTTATCAGAAATGGATGTGCTGGATTATGAGGAAGTGACGGAACTCTTGGATGTTTGGTACGATAAACTGCTCGGGAATGCTGCAGAATTATCCCCCTTAGTTTTTCCCCTGATCTTGATATGATATTAAATAAGAGTTATAATCTGTATGATGTATATATATTTAGCAGTTAAAGAGTTGATTTTGGAATGTGAATTGTCAGTTCACAGCTTAAAAGAGTGCATGAATTTTTCACGTTTTTTCAATGTCAAGATTAAAATTAATATCAAAGAGTTGTGCATGAATCCTATATACTGAGAATACCATGCAACTGTGTTTAGTGTCTTGGTTTTAGTAAATTTTGGACTTGGTTGTTCCACAAATGAACTTTAACATGCCTTATGTAACCTAGTCATAATTATTCCCTAGACAAAAGGGGTTTGTGCTTCATGCAACCTTTGTCTGTTTTTAGATTTGGATGAGTTTGTTTTTGTTTTTTTTTGAGCCACCATATTGGATATTGAACATAAGTTTGAACAACGAATGTAGTGAAGTATGCAGATATTTGTAGAAAAAAAATTAATACTGATGAGAAATATCCAGGAACACTGGTTAATAGGTTATCAGCTTGAATTATAAAAATGTATCTAGAACTAACTGACCCCAATTCTGTAATAAGGAATGCATTTAGAGGCATGTTTGTCAGAGTTTAACACAGTTTAGATGATACAGCAACTAACAGTGATAGACTTTTCAGTTGAAGACATGTCGATTTTATTGTCTTATATAAATATACACAAAATGTTTTGTTTTTTTATCCATATTGTTTGCAACTTCTTATTTTGGATACAAATTATAATATAAAAGGATTTTCTGTTTAATTATTGCATCTTGATTACTTAAAGAAATACGAAGTGGTGATTGCTAAGTAAATTAAGTTTTATAAGTGTTTATTACACAGTAAAGGTCAGGTTTTTTGTGTTTCTTTCTTAAATCAGTTTGATAAATATTATATTGCACTGTATAATTTTAAATGGAAATTGCAGTGTAAATTTAATTCCACTGTGCACTTAATTGTAAATATACTTTAAGTTGATATTGCATTGTAAGTTAATTTTGTTACATGGAGTAAGTGGATATTGCACTTTATGTTTAGTTTGTTAAGAGGTTAGTGTATTGCAAAGGTCTTTTCATTATTTTATTGATTTGTTTTGTATCATTAGTTATAAAGATTTTTGACAGGTTATATGGTCCTATATAAATGGTGTTTGGAAATATATTGCAAACAGCTGTTTTTATATGGTCATTTAACCTGTCAGGAATATTTATAACAAGTTTATAACACAGCAAACTTTTATTTTATAGAGAAAAAAATGAGATTTCTTCATAAATTGATGGCAGCTGTGTATATAAAATTATATAAATGTCAGGATTATTAAATGAAAACAATGTTACAAACATGCAGTATTATAAAAAAAAGGATGGACCATCTGAGTGCAATGTATTAAAAGATGGGAAAAACTAGTATACATGTATAATGATATGATTTGTTGAAATTAAAACTTAACCACTAAAGCTGCTGTATCTATTTAGGATGTTTTTGTTGAAATAAGTCATGTAATAGTTAGAAATAGTTATGTCACATATTTCTTTAACCTTTTTCAGCTTGTAATTACACTTTAGAGTGCCATTTTGGTGACAAACAGGCTGTTGGAAATATGTTTATCTATAGAGTTCATTTTTAGCACCAATTATTTCTATCACATTAAATGACCAAAATCATTTATATGGCACAGTGTAATGATTAAGGAGAGGTGTGGCCTCAGCCCAGAAACCTTTGGTTTCGAGACCTATTAGAGTCACAACTAAGTTTTCCTCATATGACACCAGTACTCGGTTAGTTCCAGGAATCAGATACCAGTTTAGTTCATAAAAGCTTTAAGCCTTTATCATAGTCAAGATAAAGTTAACATGTTTATAATAATGGTGTTATAATAACTATTATTATTTGATGATGCAGGTCAGAAGATGAAGAATTCCAGGAAGCAGTAGATCTTTACACGTCAGGCAAGCTGGAGGAATCAATCAGTCTAGCCAGAGAGAGTCTTAGACACTCCAGGGAAAACCTCATCAATACTCAACAAGAGGATGAAGACACTGAGGTCGAAGGTCAGTTACAAATTTATATTGTTTCTTTTGATTTTTCATTAATAGATGGTATTTTATCATGCCATTACTATGACAACTGCCTGATAAAGCCTGTCTGAGAACATCAACCTTTCTCAGTCAGTGACTTGAGAACACTATGTTCCTACGCCAGATCAGCATTGATGATGTTTATTGTTGGTATTGTTTAATTGACTTTGCTGAATATTTATGATAATACACAGTAAATAAATTGTTAAAACAGATTGTACCAAAAATTGTGTTGTGTTATAAAATTATTGGTAAAAACCCTCGGACTACTTTTTTGGCGTAAAACCCTCTTGTGGTTACCGTACTTTCAGGAAGTTAGCGCCCCGAATTAAAAAAATAAGATGCAAAGTCATAATAGAGGCATGATAAAAAGAATAACAGGTTACTGTCTTTTGAGGAAGGGATTTCTCAGACTCGGCTAGATATGGTCCGGAAGGGGCTCGGCAACCCTTTCTCAAAAGACAGTAACCTGTTATTCTCTATATCTGAAAAAGGGGTCTAGGTATCGAAATTGTTTTTGTTCCTTATTTTATGAAAAAGCTGTTACCTGGAAAAGATACTTTTAAGGTCATAATGAAGGCAAATATGTATGTTGGGTCCCATCAGATGCTACAGAGTATCATGGAAAGGCAAAAAGAACCCTTTAAATGGAATAAAAAGGGCATTTAGTACCCATAATGTTGTTCTATAGTTTATCATGAAATTAATACAGGTTTTTATGCCCCCACAATGTGGGAGCATATAGCGTTGCACTTGTCCGTCCGTCCGTACGTCCCGAAATATTGTGAGCGCAACTCCTCTTAAACCGGATGGCAGATTTTGCTTAAACTTACAGGGATGAACAACCTTAATGTGTAGATGGTAGTAAAGGAAGGAATTTTCGCTGCGACTAAATTTAACAGAATTATGGCCCTTTGTTGATTTTTTCACTAGATACTATGTAGAAATTTTGTGAACGCAACTCCTCTTAAACCGGATGGCAGATTTTGCTTAAACTTACAGAGATGAACAACCTTAATGTGTAGATGGTAGTAAAGGAAAGAATTTTTGCTGCGACCAAATTTAACAGAATTATGGCCCTTTGTTGATTTTTTCACTATATACTATGTAGAAATTTTGTGAACGCAACTCCTCTTAAACCGGATGGCAGATTTTGCTTAAACTTAAAGGGATGAACAACCTACAGGTGTAGATGGTAGTAAAGGAAGGAATTTTTGCTGCGACCAAATTTTACAGAATTATGGTCCTTTGTTGATTTTTTCACTATATACTATGTAGAAATTTTGTGAATGCAACTCCTCTTAAACCGGATGGCAGATTTTGCTTAGACTTCCAGGGATGAACAACCTTAATGTGTAGATGGTAGTAAAGAAAGGAATTTTTGCTGCAACCAAATTTAACAGAATTATGGCCCTTTGTTGATTTTTTCATTATATACTATGTAGAAATTTTGTGAACGCAACTCCTCTTAAACCGGATGGCAGATTTTGCTTAAACTTCCAGGGATTAACAACCTTAATGTGTAGATGGTAGTAAAGGAAGGAATTTTTGCTTCGACCAAATTTAACAGAATTATGGCCCTTTGTCGATTTTTAGTTTTCAACTTGTGGCACATGTAGTCCAAAAAATATTTGACCTAGAGTCATAAGATTGACAGAACAGTGGCGTGTGGGGGCATCCGTGTCCTATGGACACATTTCTAGTTTTAATGAAACTTTATTTTAAATAAATGCATATTTGGATATGAAGTGTTACTAGCAAGTTTATAGCCAAGTAAATTCAATTTGAAAAATAATATGATTTTCATTTACACTAAATTACAAAGGATTTTCTTAATTCTGTTTTGATATGACAGTACCTTAATTGAAAAACATCAATGTAACTATTGCAATGATTGTCATTATTTTTGCAGAATATGATGAGGAATCTGACACTGATGATTCAGACACAGAGATGGAGGATGAGTCAGCTGAACCTGTTAGTTCCAAAACCGAGTCTCGTTCAGACTACCGCACAGCTGCAGAGTCCAAGTCCGAACCCCTTTTGTCCAAAAACTCAGTTTCGGAGGCGACATCTGCTGTCAAAGGATCAAAGTCTCAAGGTGCTTCTAGCCAGTCAAACACACAGTCTACTGTTACAAATGGTGCAAATTCGACCATGGCTAAGGCTGCTCGTGCAGATTTCTTCACTTCCCCTCCTGAACCACTTAGACTGGACCCTTTCAAGATGTTTGGAATGGCAAGGAAAAATCCAGTCAAAGAGGAACCTGTTAACCAGGTTAATGTTAGTGAAGAGATCAAATCTCCGGTAGTCGAGGCTGGAGATGTTGAATCAGATGAGGGCACTGATAGACAGGCAAGTGTTATAAAAACATGTATTTTAATTTTATAAAACCTTATGTAAACCCTTTTTGTGCAAAAAGTTACTTTGAAAATTTTTTGAAAACCCATGGAAGATCTAAATGAATCTAAAAAAATCTGAAGGGGAAAAAAAGCTGAAATTGGCAAAACATGTTTAAGTTGTGTTTTGAATACAATTTGCAAATTTGAAATAACTTTAATAATAATTTAAGGTGAATTATTTAGTGTCTTGCATTATATAGTCTTATTTACTCCAGTTCTTTTCCTTTAAGGTTGGTTCTCAGGTGCTAGACGTAAAACCCCAGCCCAATGAATGTAACAACACAGATGATGATCTTGACGAAGCGTTCGTTTCGGCAGAGTATGAACCCTTGCTGGAAGATGATGAAAAAGTTGCTGTTAGCCGGGCAATGGAACAGCTGCTGGTTGACATGGATCATAGATCTGAGTCAATAAGTGATTCTAATGATGATTTAAATGCATCTAGTGACAATGATGGTGATGATGATGTTTTTCATCAGTATCGCAAACAGATTGCCTCCAGAGACTCTACTGGATCATATTCTGATAGTGTAAAAAGTTCAAGTAGGTCAAAGTCCAGAAATTCTTTATCAAGTAGTGATATTAATAAAAATGGAAGATCAGTTTCTAATTCAAGCTCTAGTGCGGATAAACTTAAGAAATCCGAGGAAGAGCTTAGAAGTTCAAAGGAATTACTATTGGATAAAAATAGATCATGTTCATCAAATGAACTGGGATCAACAGAAAGGTCTGTTTTACGAAGTGTTCAACAAATGAGTGATAACTCTGGTTCTACTGGTGGTTCAGGGGAAACAACTCTGCAAGTGTTAAAGAGTGTAAGTGAGATTAATAACGAACAAAAGGACGATGATGACATTGAGCAATGTATTCAATATATTGATGATAGATTTGTTACACGTAGAGCTCGTGGTAGCCGCAGATCTGGTAAATCCAATTCAGAACTTAAAAACTCTGGTAGTTCAGACAGTTTCACTATTTCCACACCTAGTCAATCATCTAGACACACCTCTTCAAGTTCTCTGTCAGAAGAGTATGAGTACAATAAAAACCTCCTTTCCCAAGAGAGTGATGATGAACGGCCCGACTCGGATATGTTAAGAGATTATCAAATGACAGTAAGTCAGAAGTTAGATGATGATGAGGAACCAATGGACAATGAACCAAAAGGAGATGAAGATTTAGATGCAACTTTGAATGCAGAAGAAGTTATTGAAGCTGCACCTGTGTCACCAGCTTCAGAATATATGTCTCCCAGGTCAGAGATGGGTGATGTTTCAGACAGAAGTGAGTATGTTTCACCTCGCTCAGATAGGAACAGTAGTGCATATGAAACACCTGAAACAAGTCTGAATGAAAAATCAGCATCGGATTTGAAACAAGTGGCGGAAAGTGTTGTTGAAAGTGAAAATAAAAAAGTAAATACGAAAAAATCAATATTGCCAAGTTTTGTTCAAACAAAAATCAGCCCTAAAGCAGATACATCTAAAAGTGTTCAATCTGTGGATGTTAAGAAGAAAAAATCAGGCAGTTTAAAGCCTCAAAAGAAAATTAAGCAGGAGGTTGATGAAGCTGATCCTGTGAAAAATGCCACTAAAACAATCATTCGTCCTTATAGACATGGTAGTCGGGAAGGCTCAGTTGAGTCAAACCCTTTAGAAAAAGATGCATGGGGAAGCTCTAGTTCCACTAATAGTTTGAACTCTATAAACTCAACAGAGGCTTCTCAGAAAACGTGGCGACCTTTACCGCCTGTGCCGATTGAATCTCAGACCTCGCCAAAACAATCTAAAACTGTTAAACCGGGAACAGGGAGAAAACTTCCTGAACCTGTTGTACCTAAATCCAAATCACCGCAAGTGTTTCAAAGTAATTTTATGAAAAAAGCATACTCCTCTAATACAGACTCTAATGATTCAAGTAATAATACACCATCACCTAACGAGGTTCGTAAATCTGTGATAACGAGTCAGCCACGACCATTACCCCCTCCACCTATTGAAACCAAATCTGGTGAACCAAATAAAACTGTAAGTAAAGATACAGATAAGTTAAACGAAAGTAGTGGTTTAAAGACTAAAATCACTGTGGATTACACTAAATTGAACTTTGATAAAGATAGTGCTAGTGAGAGTGATACTAAAAAGAAACGAATACCAGTAGCCAGTGCTCTGAAAAAGTCTTTGAAACCAAGTCTTTCAGGGAACAGTGTTGGTGATCAGTCAGATGAAATTCCATTTGCGGACGATAGTGAAAATGATGTTGTTGATGATAAATTCTTTACACCTGCAACTTCAATAAAACCTAAACGAAAAGCTTTCAGAAAGGAGGGAGAGGTTTCAGATGCAAGGAAGAGAATTTTGCCAACCCCTCCAAAACAGTCAGAACCAGCAATGTTAAGTCCTGATCGTATACGTGATATTAGAAAGGCTGAGATTGAAAAGGCACGCGAGGAAGCTCGTGAGCGAGCAAGATTAAAGAGTGACGAGGAGTTAGGGTTACAAGATACACCTTCTGTGTCGAAATACAAACGAACAGTTAGCACAGAATCATCTGTTAGTAATTACACAAGTGCTACCGACAAAGTTTCAGATAGTGATGATTTAAGAACTCCCTTACAAAAAATCTCAGTTAGTTTTACACCTGAAATTCCACTCTCTAATGGTACACCAACAAAGAGTAAAGGGAAGAAAAAGAAAAAGAGCAAAAGTAGAGACAGTAGTCAATCGTCCATGGAAAACTTGGAGATGGAAGTAAAGAAAGAAAAGAAGAAGCGATCACTTTTAGCATCCATTTTATCTGGTGTAAAGACACCATCAGACAAACCAAAAGAGTTAAGAGATCGTGATAAGTCTTCCTCTACTGACACTTTGGAAGATAAGTCAACAAAAAAGAAAAAGACCAAAACACCAAAGACTGATAAAAAGAAAGAGAAAAAGAAAAGGAAGTCAGCGTCAATGGGAGAAGAAAGTTTACTGTCTGAAAATATGAACCAGTTGAAGATCGGTGCTGTGTTTTCAGAGAAATCAGGCAAGCGTCCAGCATTAAGAGGGAGAATTGTTCCTCCTAAAGCATCAGGTAATTATTGCTTTGTTTAACCCTTTCCCTGCTGAATTTTATGAATGGATATATCCAGCTTCCATTTTTGGAACTGTCCATTATCAATTTTGGGGATATCACTTGAGATGATAAGTTTGTAAGGCAACCGTATAGAACTTTGTCAGACTGCATGGAGGTGCACAAACTCCTCACAGCGGTTACGTCACGCTTTGCTACTTAAACCACTGCCACCGCTGAAATCACGCGACGATAGTTGTATCATGTGACAAAAAACATGGCGGCCAGTTTCAGAACGCCAAGGATCCCATATCAAACTGGCAGATTTATAATTACATCCTGACCTGATAAAATGTGTTCAAAACACACAATTTGTTTACACTTTAAAACTTACTTGTGGTGGCAGTGGTAACTGTACTGATCAGGGGAAGTAACCGCTGCGGGGAGTCTGGGAGGTGCATGCTGGCAAGGCTTTATACTAGGGGCATAGGCTAATTACTTTTGGTTTCAGCTGGGTAATTTTGTTATTAAATTCAAATACTTGTAACATAATATGAATAAGTTTTAATGACAAAAATTTGAAAATGAGCTTGCATTTATCTATGTAATCTAAATGTTTTGAATGAAATTTTTTCTGGTTGTTACGAATCATAATGACATGTTAATAATGCATTAGCTAGATTAGAATCAAAATATAGAACTTCTTTTGACTGTTTGAAAAAAGGGAGATATATGTGTTTATTTTATCTGGTCTTATATTCTGTAAAGCAATGGTCAGAACATCATATTACATTGATTATATAAGACTTGGAATAATGTTTGAAAAATATATTTTCAGAAAAACAATTTTATTACCATTGATATGTATGTTACATTACAGTTGATGATTTCACAGACTCTGATGATGATTACCCCAGTATGGGTACAAGCATGACATCTCTAAATGACAGCCAATCTCGTAGAACTAAATCTGTAAGTGCATTGTACTATCTTTACAGTGGAATTATGCAAAAAGTCAGAACAAAAAGCTAAAGGATGTGAAATTTACTATCACAATGTATTACTTTGGCTAATATAACATTCATATAACAAATACGAATGTACATGTATTATGTGTAATGGTTATTGTCACTAGATTGAAAGGGTTCAAAAAAGATACGGTGTAACTTATTTAAATTCTTGAAGATTTTGAATTCAGTATCAACCCCAAGTTTTTCGTACCTTATGCATGTTTTGGTTTTTACAGGACCATGGGCCTTTGTCTGAAGAAGAATTAAATGCAAGAATAACCAGGAAAATTCAACATGCTGCTAGAAAACAACAAAAACAACAGGAGCAGAAACGCCTACGTCAAGCACAGGAAATCCAGCGGAAACTTCAGGAAGTTGATGTGAAACAGCGGGAGCTGGAGGAGCGTGGAGTGTCTGTCGAGAGGGCTCTGAGGGGAGAAGGTCCCGAGGGTGGTCGGTCCGAGACGGAACTTATGCAGGAGTGGTTTAACCTGGTCCATGACAAGAACGCTCTTGTGAGACTTGAATCAGAGCTGATGGTCAGGTATGCTGCTATATAAATCAGGGTTTTTTACTTGTTAACTTATATGATTGATTTCATGGCTGAATGGTTTCAGGATAATTCATGAATTCAGGATTCTCAGACTCTTTCAAAGGATTTTTGGGATTTTTTTAAATTGTTCAGCCAATCACACATGCTATTCGATGCAAGAAATTTTATTGATTAAATACAATGAAACATAATATAGAATTTAACCAGAACAACCTGATCCTAAAGTTAAACACTTAAGTAAAAGGATAAGTGTGACATTTATTTGAGCATGTTTTGAATATATACATTACTTTTATTGTTGCTTTTTCTCAAAGAATCAAGGTGTATTTACTGTATTAACATTACACAAAGAAAGAAGGTTGTAATCATTACGTTACCTGGCACATAAAGGAATGTAGTCTAGCTTGCTGATTTTTGTTTCAGCTTTATTTCTTTGAACCATGGTGCAAAGTTCAAATCAACAAACAAGCTTTGTAAATCATATAAAACTGTACAACTGAAATTGAAAAAAACAAACGTTTTATAAGTTTTGTGCTTAATTTGACGAAGTATTTAAATTTTCTAGCTAAGGTTCCTTTATTTTTCAGTGCGAGAGAGCTTGAGTTAGAAGACAGGCAGGGTAGATTACAGCATCAGCTGAGAGAGAGTATGGTTCTAGATGGTAAGTTTGCAATTTTAAAATCTGTCAAACATGAAATTCATTTTAGTTGCGCATGTCTCCATTTTCTCCTTTTGTGTGTGAATTGGTAGTGTGCCTTGAACCTTGATCCAAAATGAAGAATTTACTGTAGAAAAAGATTACACAATGTTCTTGTTTTGTTTATAGCTTTGTATAGTTTATGAGTATAAAGGGAGATTAGTTATCAGAAAATATGAAACAATAAAATTAAACCCAATAAAAACTGAGAATAATATTGGAGGTTTTGATGAGATTATGTTTTATTGTGCTAAATCAAAATTTCCATACTGTTGATCAGATAGATATACATGTAGGTATTTGACGTTCAATTTAACGTATATAAAGTATATATTTAGGTTTTGTGACATTTGGGCTTTGATTGATATTATTTTGATATTGATTTGAACTCAATGAATTAGTTCTTGAGAAAAAAGTTCTTGCATATAAAAGTATGTTGTAGCATAAAATTTCCATGGGTTTTCTTGCTTTATGGAACTGCTTAGTAGATTTTCGTGTTTTTCATGAACTCTATTTAAGATAAGTGATAAGTAAAAGTGATACTTTTGATGCATGGTTTACATTTGAATCATCATTTTGTGATATCCCATGTAACTATCCAGTTTTGACAGCTAATGCATGTTTTATCATTTAGTTTTATTTAGTTTATTTTTGCATGTTAAGAAATTATAATAATTTTAGATTAAACAAAAAAAATGTAATATGTTTAAGTTTATATTTAAGAGAATAATAAAAATGATTCATTTTCAAGTGATGTTTTTTTTCTCTCCATATCTGTAAAACAGATAAAATAATAGACTAAGTTTCCTTTTATATTTAAATATTTTATTGAAACCTGGGTGTTTAACCGAAAAAATAAAAAAATGAAAAAAAAAAAATTGATAAATATCTGAAAAATGATCCCTCAGAAACATTAAAAAAAACCAACAAAACAGCAAAATTACATAGAATTGCAAACGTAGTTGTTTTTTCAGTAACATGTTATGAAATTACATATATTTATACCCCCAAAAACGAAGTTTGGGGGGGTATATAGGAGTCACCTGGTGGTCGGTCGGGCGGTCGGTCGGTCCAGACGTCCGTTGCATTTTCCTTGTCCGGAGCATAACTTGAAGACTAATGCTTTGAATTCAATATAACTACACACAATGGTCAAGCACATTGAGAGGAAGTGCAGTGCACAAGAACCATAACTCTATCTTGACTAATTACAGAGTTATTGCCCTTTGTTACTTTTCCTTGTCCGGGGCATAACTTGAAAACTACTGGTTGGAATTCAAAATAACTTCATACAATTGTCAAACACAATAAGGGGAAGTGCAGTGCACAAGAACCATAACTCTATCTAAAGTAATTACAGAGTTATTGCCCTTTGTTACTTTTCCATTGCTTTTTTTTGTCCGGACCATAACTTGAAGACTAATAGTTGGAATTCAATATAACTACATACAATGGTCAAGCATATTGAGAGGAAGTGCAGTGCACAAGAACCATAACTCCATCTTGATTAATTACAGAGTTATTGCCCTTTGTTACTTTTCCTTGTCCGGGGCATAACTTGAAAACTACTGGTTGGAATTCAAAATAACTTCATACAATTGTCAAACACAATAAGGGGAAGTGCAGTGCACAAGAACCATAACTCCATATTGACTAATTACAGAGTTATTGCCCTTTGTTACTTTTCCATTGCTTTTTTGTCCGGAGCATAACTTGAAGACTAATAGTTGGAATTCAATATTACTTCATACAATGTTCAAGCACATTGAGAGGAAGTGCTGTGCACAAGAACCATAACTCCATCTTGACTAATTATAGAGTTACTGCCCTTTGTTAATTTTCCTTGTCCAGAGCATGACTTGAAAACTACTGGTTGGAATTCAAAACAACTTCATACAATGGTCAAGCACAATAAGGGAAAGTGCAGTGCACAAGAACAATAACTCCATCTTGACTAATTACAGAGTTATTGCCCTTTGTTACTTTTCCATTGCTTTTTTGTCCGGAGCATAACTTGAAGACTAATTGTTGGAATTCATTATAACTTCATACAATGGTCAAGCACATTGAGAGGAAGTGCAGTGCACAAGAACCATAACTCCATCTTGACTAATTACAGAGTTATTGCCCTTTGTTACTTTTCCTTGTCCAGAGCATAACTTGAAAACTACTGTTTGGAATTCAGTACAACTTCATACAGTTGTCAAGGACATTAAAAGGAAGTACAGTGCACAAGAGCCATAACTCCATTTTGACAAAATACAGAGTTACTGCCCTTCGATACTTTTCCTTGTCCTGAGCATAACTTAATACGTACTGGTTGGAATTCAAAACAACTTCATACAATGTTCAAGCACAATAAGAGGAAGTGCAGTGCACAAGAACTATAACTCTATCTTCAGTTTTTATAGAGTTTTTGCCCTTTGTTCCTTTTCTTTGTCTTTCTGGACTTATTACAGAGTAATTCAATTAAACTTCATCAATGGCCAACCACATTGAAAGGATATGCAACATAGAAGAACCACAACTATCTTTAATTGCTAACAACCATAACTCTATATTTCAATTCTTTTACAAGGTATTCTGTTACTAGTAACATCCTCATTTCCGAAGCAGTCTTGTGGGGGTATTAATCACATTTAGTGATAGTTCTAGTTTCAATTTTTGTTGTTGCAATGTGTAGAAATTCAGAAGTATAGAATATAAGGGTTGGTGTATTTATTGTTGTACAGGGTTAGATTGGGACCTCGTTGATGACGAGGTATTTGAGGAACCAAACGATGTAAAATTGACCAAATATTGGAAGGCCATTTGCAGAAATGGTAAATTTCACGGCCATGATACAAAACTATTGTTATAAATCAGATTTTATATGTAACTAATAAGGGAGATCTTCTTGGATGTTGGATTCAAGATGTACCTGAAAATACAATAGTTTGTAGTCAAGGCAACCATTTGCATACAATTATACTGCTTGTACTTTTTTTTTGGTGCTATGATTTTTATACATCATCCCTTGTACAGTTTGAACACTACCTACCAAACATGTACTTTTCTCCAAAATATAATCTTTAAACAAATTGAACGTTTATAGATTAACATAACTTAAATAACAAATAATGGTGTCAACAGAATTTTTGTTAGCGTTATTTACCTTTATCATAACTTCAGTTTAGCTAGTTTTCTCTTTAGGCCTTACTTACTTTGAAGAGTTAGCACGTATAGACTGCACTTTAGACACAAGTTTCTGCACCAGGCTTTGAACTAAACTCCCCATTCTCATGTCATACATGTATATCAGTCTATTTCCTCAGAAAATCCGAAAGACTTTTTCTAGAAGAACAATATAAGTCTCTGTGTATATTTATTTTCAGTGTTGTGATAAACTTGTTTTGCCTTTCTTTGTACAGTAAGCTGCTCTTGACCCTTTTTTCTGATGCTAAATTCAGGAATAAATCTTCCAACTTAAGGCTGAATTCGGATAATTTATGCATTACAAGGTGAAATTGTACCTTAAGCCCTGGTCATAGATGTTGTATAGTGGTGTTCACATACTGTGAATTTGATATCTTTTATATTAAGTATTTTAAGCATATAAATGATAACATAAAAGTGTCCAGCCATATAGGCGTCTTGCCAGACTGCATGAAGATGTTAACTGACCTCCGTCTATACTTTACGGATTGGCTTGCCATTGAATTCGTAAAGCTAGAGGTGTTCAAAAAGTTCAGATTGGTTTTGAGTGATCAAGCTAGAGAAGTGTAGAATGTTTGTGGGCATTTTTTTTTAATTGGCCAACTTACGGCCATTTGAAATTAATAATCTTGGTAGTCGATGGTATAAAGGTAGATTTTAAATGCACATAGGCAACAAAGGGTCAAGGACTCCAGGTTAGGTCACTGTTTATAAAAATAGAAGAAAAAGAATACCAAAAAGTTTTGGATTTGACGTTAACAAAATAACCATATTTATTTATATACATTTACTTATATTTATATGATAAAAGTTTGAAGTTTATATTGATGTAGTAGATATTGGGTTTAACAATTCACTTTGAAATATAATTCACCTTGGAGTATTTATTTTTTCAACCTAGTTCTATTAATACTGGTATATATATAGTTTTATTAATATACATATCATGGCTTCATTAAGATTGTTACAATCATCTGTTCTAGCCAGTGTTACGTTAGAGTTACCTCCCCAGTATTAACCTTGGTTATGATCGTGTATCATTATTTCCCCTACTTACTGTACATGTATTTACTATTTTCCTGTAATTCTTGAAAATTCTACAAGTACTTGATAGTGTGCGGGCTTAGTGCAAAAGGGTTGTAACCCATATGACATAATGATAGAGTTACAACCCTTTTGCACCAAGCAGTCAAATTATTATATATAAAGCTTAATGAAAGAGCAAAGAATGTACATAATGTATATACAGTAAAATTTAGGCAATACCGATAACATTGTAATTTTTTGTTACTTTTATACTTTGTAATTATTAGTTGATGATTTTATTTCAATACTCAATTTATATATTTATTTTCGTTATTTTTAATATTTTTATTTTAATTCAGTTTTAACTTAGATTAGTAAATTAAGTTGTTTTCTTCATACTTTTGTATCAAAATTTTATTGTTTGTGTTTTCCAAATTGATATTGAAAAGATACATATATTGTTTAATAATTGATTTTGGGAAGAATTTCGAAAAAAATGCAAAAAAAAGCAGCAGTGAAGGAGAGTGTATCTTTGGGGATTAAAATAGGATTTGGGGTAAATTTTGCGAAAGATTTTAAAAAATGTTTTTAAAAAATCAGCACTACAGAAGATCATCATATCATCATCATAGTGCAGTAACGGGTTAAGTCCTTCTAACTTTAATAGGAGTTAACTGGTAATTGCAGTAAGTTGACGATGTCTTTGGGGGAATGAAAATTGTGAGATGTTTCTGAAGAACGCAAAGTTGTTTCAGTATTGTGTATCTTTTGATGTCAGTTTTAATTCTATATATATATAATGTATATAGTAAATGAGTTGATTTTGTATGAACTAATTGGCTCTGCATGTGACTAACTTGCTTGTTGTTTGCAGACACGCTCAAGTCTCCGCTACAGCGTGAGCGCGAGCAGAAAATCTACAGTGAGCTGATAGAGGTGGTAGAGGAGAGGGATAAGTTAGTTGCTATGTTAGAGGAGGAACGTGTCAGGTATGATCATCGGGGAAAAATGTCATAACTGTTATGTTAACGTTGTGTTTTTGTGCCGTTCTGTAAATTGCCCAAAAATCTCTGAAGCAGAGATAGAGAGAGGTTGGAAAAGGGAATTTTGTGTTAATTAGGTAAAATAAAGTTAGGGAGATGATCAGTATTGATTGATTGATTGAGTTTCTGATTTTTATTATGCTATAAATTGCCATATTTTACAGCAATTCAGCACAGAATGTCATAAATTAACTATAAATCTTCTGGTGGGTGTCTTGTGACTGTTTGCCAGTTTTTTGTTTGTTTTTTTGTTTGTTTCTTAATTGTGACAAAATGAGTTTAATAAATGCTGTAAATCATAGATAGTGTGTAGCAGTTAATTTATAGTTATAGAAAACATTCATATTTCGATCAGATTATTATTATTACAACATTTCAATTTATTTTTTAGTTGTATACCCTATGTTTTAAAAAGATTCTAATGCATTATTGTTACAAAATTCTTGTGGTCAAGTAGTTACTCCATAGTAGAATGGTGTCATTAATTCATGATATGAACGTTTTATTTTCTTTTTTATCACATTTTGTTTTTCTTTCTTGTGGGGTACAGGGGTGCATGCATTTGAAGCATGACTAATAATATCTGTGTAACTAAGCTGATTTGATTTTTGCTGTGAAAAAATACATATCAATATTTTATAATAAATATTTTCAGGGGCAAGAAGTTTTTATGTTAATGTATCTGGACATTCTTAGGAGATCATGTGTCATTTTTTTGTACTAATAATTTCATTTACAATTATACATTACACATAATTATGATCCTTTAGGTAGTAAACAAGTTTTTTCTCTCAGAAATTTATTTTGCATTTCTAAAAATATTGGGTTTTCTTTAAAACCTCTTAAACCACTAAATTTGTGTTATTAAAATCCTCCCTGCTTTGAGTAGGAACTGTAAATTGTTAAGTATGATTTTGATATCAAAAAGATAAATATGAGATGCCAACAGGGTAGAGATTGGTCAGACAGTCTGGCCTGGCCTGATTCTTGTATCAGTTATTAACCTATCGCACCCCCATCGAGTGCCGGCCCTGTTCCGGTTAGTTGCCCCTACGGGTGCCTCATGTTGTAAGATTTTGTTGGGTCTGTGTTTTGTGCATGCTGCTCTCCCTTGTTGATCTTGAGTCTTGTATGTTTTCATTTTTATTTCAGAGAACGAGAAGAAGATAAAGACTTAGAGAATGTGATGAGGGCGAAAGGTTTCTCACTGTCTCCAACGTCAGGATCTAAAATACTCCGTAAAACCCAACCAGTGAAAGTTTCATGACATCATATGATTAAACAATAGATTATTTTATATTATCTGTGTTAATACTCTAATGTAAGAAAAACCAAGACAAGGCTATAAATAGCAAGGCAAATCTATATATAGCTTGACAAGTTTAAAAGAGGAGACAGACCAGCCTTTTTCATGAATTTCCTTAAACCAGTCTGCAAAAATCTGACCAGTCTGAAAATAGGAATCTGCATACTAGTCTAGAAATAGATGGACCAGTCACAAAAAAGTTTAACAACTTGAGAATATTAATCTAAACCAGTCTAGAAGTAATTAGACTGATGGAAAACCAGACCAGTGTAAAAAGAACTATCATACTGGTCTTGAAATAGATACATGCTGACCAGAATAGCTAAGAATTAATCTTAGACCAGTCTAGGTGGAAAAACCCAGACCAGTCTGAAAAAAAAAAACAAGCATAATGGCCTTACTAAAACTTAAAAAAAGCTCTCCTTTGGGAGGCATTTAAAACTATAATTGTATGTTAGAGTCAGTATACTGGCATGCGAGCAGTTCCCGTACAGAAGCAGTACCCGTATTTTTCATTTAAACGCTTGATTTTTACATGCATTCTTCAAAAATTCATTTCAAATCAAGCAGATACATAAACGAGACAAAATCTAAGTGTCAGTTCGGCAGTACGTATAAAAAGTCTCATTTTAAATCACTTTCACCTGTGCGTTGTCAAAACATGACCTTGTTTTATCTGGGGGATTTCCGTCCTTGCGCGCATGCGCAAATATACTTACGCGTGAGGCATGTTAAAGGGTTTTCAACTTATACCACCTGTTTACAGATAAGAAGGCAATGTGATGAAAACTTGTTAAATTATCAGAATTTTGATCAATATTACTATATTAAATAATCTTATGGCTTTGATGCGTAAAATATCATGCATACAAGCATGCCATCGCATGTGACTGCGTTGGGGGTAACGGTACCGGGTAATAGATACACGCGTTTAGTCTACTTTCTATTTCCTGAATTACATCTATTTATCTCTTAGAAAATGGTCTGTTCAACAATTATAAATGAAAAATAGGTCCGATATAATAAAATTGATTAATTATAATGGGTTCAATTTTATGTACGGAAACTACTTCTCTTCATACAAAATAATGGATAATTTCAGTACCCCATATGAGGCCAATTAACTAAGGGTTATTCTATGTTTAGAACATGATGGAATTTCCATGATTTGTGTGACGAGCCGAATATTGATGTGTAACATTCAAAATTTGGTGAGTGAGCGTAATAAAAAATAATGTTTAAGTAACTACGATTTTTGTACGGGAACTGCTCGCATGCCAGTATGGTCGCATTTATTGACTTCTATTTTACTGGCCCCGCAATGAAGCAAAACCAGCATTTTAATGCAGAATTTATATCATGTTGCTGTATTAACGTAGCTTCGACTAATGTTTTTAGAATGCAATATGTATTATGCAAATTAAATACAACATCCTGATGTAGAAATTTTACCAGCATCTGGATGTTCAAGGCTAACCAGTATTATGCCTAATAATTGAACAATATCCATATGTGTAAATTAATACTATTTTATGTTAATAGTAATAATGAGCCGTGTCATGACAAAACCAACATAATGGGTTTGCGACCAGCATTACGTTGGTTTTGTGGCTCATATATTGTCAAAGAATATATAAGAAATTAGGTCTGGACATTTTCGTTTGAACAAAAGAATTATATGTCTGAACAATAGAATTATATGTTTATGTTTATTTGTTGTTGTATTATTTAAATGTACATAATAAGTATGAATGGTTTAAAAACATTTTGTAAATTCCCACTGTGTGCTAAAATAACAATTGTACATATTACCATTATTTATTATGAATTGCTGTAAAACCATGAAACAGAATTTATGACATTGTACAAACCAATTGCTTTATTCTCCAATTAGATAAAATCAATGACAATTGTATTATGTTAATGTTGAGTTATAAAAAATGTCGTGTCATTTTAACCCCTACCCTTCTAGAACATAAAGTGGTAAGCCTTTGCCACCAGTATAAAGCCAGGCCAGCCTGTGCTTCTGTGCAGTCTGACCAGACTCTATACTGTTGGCTGACCAATTTCAAATTTTCATCCACAACTTTCCTCAAAATTTATACAAGACAGTTTCATTTAAGACATTCAGTTTCATTTAAGACATTCAGTTCCATTTAAGACATTCAGTTCCATTTAAGACATTCAGTTACATTTAAGACATTTAGCAGGATAAGGGTTAAAACATGTGATTATGTTTTATTGAGAGAAATATTTATAAATGAGTTGTTTGTTTTTTGATACTGAATGCCAGTAAAACGTATAGGATGGTTAAAGGTGGTACATGTCTGCTTAGGTTTTAGTAAGCACTTGCATTTTGTTCATGCCATGACATGTATTGTTAAATCTAGCAATCATCTTTTAAAAGATGTATAGTTCATTGTTTGTAAGAGGGGTATTCATGCACTCTTTAACGGGATGCAAATTTAAGTCATTACCTTAATACTGTACCAAGCTAGCCAAAGTATGTTGTTTAAAATTTAGATTTGTGTGCTTCTTTGTTCTCGAAATTTAATCGTTTCTTTCATTTATCAAATTATTAACCATTTCTTGAGATATTACACAACACTTTTGTTATTTGTTAACATTTTTTAATCCGAACCATGCTTTATTTTTGTAATGGACTAGCCATTCTTTGAAACTATAACAGTCCTTTAATACTTAAGAGGGTTTTCAGTTCCCAAGTACTTACATAGGGTAGTCAACATTTAGTCGGGGCGAACTGAAGCTGTTGTTTATTTTTCTTTTTTTATACACATTGCTAACTGATAATAAATATGAAACAGCAGTGCTTGCAATGAATATTACAATTCATTTATTTTCATTTATTAATGAGATTAGTTCAAATTGTTTATGTTTTGGAAGTAAGAGGGTGTATTTCTTTTACTAAATATGGTTGTGCATTTTTTAGACGGGTCTGTACTTAAATCTTTCTTGCTTATCTTTCTTACTGATTTGTTAGAAATTATTTTCAAGTTGCAATTGTCCATTGGCATTTTTACTTTGTTAGACCTCATGACTTACCACAAGCCATCTATATATTAGTTCTTTACCCATTTTGTCTCATTGGAAAAATTGAGTATTTGTCCATATTGGGCATTCACAGTGCTGAATTTTCATCTTTATACAATATATTGAATGATATCATTGAATAAATGTCTGAAATGATGCGTTTAAAACATTTTGTCACCTTAGTGCAATTAACTCCTATTAAATAGGAGAACTTATTCAGTTATTGCACCAAGGTGACAAATTTTAATTTTATGACCATCCCAAACCTTGTCATTCAGAACATGTTTTGTAGTATGGGTGTACAAATTGAATAAACTGTGCTGTTATGTTCAAATTTTTTGACAAAGACTTATCATTATTACCATTATTATTATTATTACCATTATTATTATTATTAGCAAGTGCCTTGATTAATTGTTTATATTATGTTGCACTTAAATCGATGCAGTCTCCCCACCCACCTGTTTCAGTTATTGTTTTACAAGGGTTTATGAATAACTGTGATTAATTTATTTTGTTTATACAATTTAGCAGAGCTGAATGAGTAGGCATTTAATTGATTACTACTTTTGTCATTTAAGTTTTCATCTGAAACAGGGCATTTTAAGTTTGCGTACCTGTAAATTTTTTCTCATTAAAGAAGTATATTGGTAGACTGAAATTACATTATTAAATTGTAATGTTGATAAGTATGAGGAAGTTTCTAATCATCTAAGATTGGTAGTTACAGAAAATCAAGAAACGGTTGCATCATTTCTCTTAAAGTAGGTTTATAAAGACTCTTACCCTTCAGAATTCGAGTAATATTGACTTGTCCTGCAGTCAACTTGGAAGGTTGCTAGGATGTCAGTATTGATATTGAGCAGCCAATAGTGTAGAGCATGTCACACTGCACATATTTGCATACTGGCCTAGCTTTATACTGGTGTCATTATATTGACCTGGTTTTATACTGGTGACATAGGCTAATACTGACCTGGTTTGATACTGAAAACATGCTTATACTGACCTGGTGTTATATTGACAACATATGCTAATTCTGAGGTGACATAGGATAATACTGACCTGGTTTTATATCGAGTGTAAAGGTTAATACTAGACTGGTTTTATATTGATGACATAGGCTAATACTAACTTTTTTCCTTATTCTGATGACATGAATTAATACTGACCTGGTTGTATACTGATGACATAGGTTAAAACTGGACTAAATGTATACTGATGATATAGATTAATACTGGCCTAGCTTCATATTGGTGACACAGGCAAGTCCATTCATTGAGAGGGTCAAGAATTGTTTATCTAGTCATTTCTGTATATAATGAAGCTTATTTTGCTTGGAAGCTAAAAATATAATGTTTGAGTGAATTTATTATAACAAGATGTATCGAAATATATCTGAAAAATAATATTTTAATTTTAGTGTATCTGTAAATAGGACAATTGTTTCTGATGGAATATTGACTGTAGTTGAAGTTTTATCGCAAATCAAACTGGAAGTTAGGCAAATAAGTTAAAATTTTATTCCAAATTTAAAATATTCTGCTATACAAAATTCTGCTATTTGAAAATAATGCAAATTGAAAATTAAAGTTTTACTAATGTGATATTAAATGGAATGAGCAATATGAATCATATCTCACAGGTAAATTCAAGAATATAATTAAGTTTTACTTAGTTAAAATTTGATTCAATATATAGAGGAGTTTGTTATTATCATCCAAGAAAATCTAACAGAGTGAAAAAGAATAGCATTTTGTTATATATTAAATTGTGACACTTTTCTGTTATTTTGAGAGTTCCATTTAAAATAAATGAATAGATATATTTTCATTTTAAAATCATCAAATATATATATATTTAGAAAGTAGACCCAATAAAACATCTCTTTAAAATATACAATATTATAATTATGTTTTTCTGTTAAATATTGCTTATATGACACATAAATACAGAAAGGTTGCACAATAAATAAATATACACAAATGTTTTTTCCCATAACAATGTGCTAGGAACAATGTGCTAGCTTTGTCCATAGATGTGTTTAAAAAAATATAAACAATATTGAGACTATATACAAGTCTTGTATGTAGGTCACTGTAAAAATTAAGTATACAATTAAAAAACACCTAACATTTTTGCTGTTTTTCTGTAGAGTAGACCACGATTTAAGAATGTGTATGCATTTATAAGGCACAAATTGTTAAGTAATAATTGTTAAACTTTTCGTATTGTTTTAAATTTGGTGAAAATAAAACCGTTATTTAGCCTTGTATGTAGGGCTTGTACAGGTTTTTCAATTTTGGTCTATTTAGAGATTATAAGGAGTTTGATATAGCAAAAAAAAAAAAACAACATTATAGAATCTGGTTAGATTTCATGGATGTGTAAGCTGGCTTTGTTCTTTACAGGTGGTTTAAGCAAGTTGTTAGCACTCATGTCAGTTAAAATATAACGACTGTAAAAATATAACTACTGTATGAATTCAAAATTTTTCATGCATATAGAAGATTGACTGCACTGTGCATTTCTAAGGGTCAAGAATTTGTTATATTGATACCTTTGTAGTTTGATCATAAAAAATACACTTATTGTATACATGTGAGAGGTGCTTACATTATTTGTATTATATACTGTATAAATGTTATCAAATCAACTGTTGATCGCAACACTGTTGTAAGCCCTTCTTTATTTCATATAAGTTACTGCAGTTTTGCAGTCAACCCATGATTAATGTTAATGTGTAAAAGGGTATAACTTAACTGTAAAGTATTGTGTTGTATAACTGAAATTATGTAAGATGTTTTACTTTATGTACTTTGAAACCTTGTTACATTATAAGGTTGTGATAATGTCTAATAAACATCATGAAATATCAGTGTGTTTCTTCTTGTTGAATTTTTCTTTTAGTTTTTCATAATAACAAAGAGTTGCTTTCAGAAAATGCCTTTGACCTCTGATCTGACCTGTCTTTGAGTTAAAAATGACATACCTCTGAACTGAAGATTTAGTCTGACACTGAAATATGACCTTGACATTTTAAGGTAACATTTTCAAAATTCTGGCCCTATTTAAACAATTTATTCATTTGTTAAGTAACAGATTTAGAGGTGGACCTTTTGTTTTTAAATTATACAACCACAAAAACCAAAGCCTTTTAAAAAAAAAGATCAGATATTTTGAGCTCTAAATAATGAGAAAATTTCAAAAACTGCATTATCCAGTCTGTGTCAAAATTTAAACTCACCATGGTGAGGGGCAAGTGGTTCAAAGTCAATGACCTTAACCACTTGCCCCCTACTGACTGCTTAACTATAATCTTCACTTTTAATGTTCAAATGTAGTGCAAACTCATGGAAATGAAATTATAATAATGATGTGTGTAAATAATTTATTATTCTGAGAAATTTAACAAAAATAACATACAATAACATTCAAATCTTTCATGATAGTATTTACATCATTCTATAAGTAGAAAATGGTATGCAATGATCAGTAATAAGTTACACATGAGGGCATAACCTCCTGCAATGAACACTATATGAGCCGCGCCATGACAAAACCAACATAATGGGTTTACGACCAGCATGGATCCAGGCCAGCCTGCGCATCCACACAATGTGATCAAGATCCATACTGTTCGCTTACAAAAACTTTAACAAGTAGAGAAACTAATAGCGAACAGCATGGATCCTGATCAGACTGCGCGGATGCGCAGGCTGGTCTGGATCCATGCTGGTCGCAAACCCATCCTGTTGGTTTTGTCATGGCGCGGCTCATTTATAGAAAAGATGTCTTTGTAGTCTCCTGTTCACCCTTATCTTACTGACTTCTTGAAATCAACTGGTTTTCCCAGCAAGATTAGGGTAAATCAAAAGTTAACTCTCCCGATGGTCATATTTTAAAAAAAAGAACATATATATATAGTATATTGAGAGAGACCAAAAAAAAAGGATTGGAGCACCACACTAAATAAAGTATTCTGGTATATAGTGGACAAGGCCCTTGAAATGATTAAATGTTAACAGAATGAACCTTAAAATGTCTTAATTCATCACTACACGATAATGAATGAAAAATGTCAAAATCGGCAATAAAATGATATTTGTCTATTTTGTGCGGCACCAATCCTGTACTGAGTCAAATCCATGTATATTATTTACACCAGTCGTGTATTGAGTTAAATTTACACCAGTCGTGTATTGTGTTAAATTTACACCAGTCGTGTATTGAGTTAAATCCATGTATATTATTTACACAATCATGTGAGCTATGCTATATTTCCTGATGAGACTGTCTCTACAAGCACTGTACACATAATGTCCGTCTGATACAGTTTTATACAAGGGGTCACAATCTGACCCTGATAATTCTACTAGTGTTTCATAATTCTGGTTCACATAGAAACAAGATCCGTCACCTGTAATGAAAGAAAAGAAATGCAATGGATTAGAAAGATAGGAGTGCAGTATTTTTAGATTTAAAGGGACTCCACTGAGATTTTTTTTGAGATAATGGAACTAGAAATATTTTTTTTCAAGACTTGTGTACCATTTGATGTAAGTCTAGACCAATAACTTGTGTGCAAGTCTCAGTTTTTCTAGAATCATCATTTTTATTGTGCAAAAAACACTTTTCACTTTTATCTGGCTATGAATGGCACAAAATTCGATTTTAACTTAATTCTGAGCATATTTCTTCATTTTCCTTTACAGATTTTTCCATTTTAAGTGGTTCATTTGATTTATGTTTAATGTTTTAAGGCTTTTTTGACCTTAGTGGAGCTATATTTAAACATACTCCTTTCTTTTTTGTTACAAATTTGAATTGAGCATGTCCATTCATTCATTCATAATTTTCAAGGGATTTATGTCAATTGTTTAGAGAGTGGTGGCTTTGTTATTGTGCCACAGCACTATAAGGACTTATGGCAACCTTCCAACTTCCAAACTAGAGTCATCTACCAACCAAAACTATGGTAGCTGGATAGCTTTCTGATATGAAAGAACATATCAAAGGTGGATGAACATACAGTATTTAGGGATAAATTATTTGAAGTCAGGGAGCTCAACTTCCAAACCAGGGAGGACTTTATATCTTTTAATAATTCATCCTCCACCGCTAGTCCTACAATTTTCTTAGGAATTGTTCTGTTCTACAACTAAGATCACACTGGCATTGTAAAGGTCATATGACAACTTTTCTGGGGGAGAAGACCTCATGTAACCTACTATGTGTTTGTGACCTACTATGTGTTATTTCAAACACAAACGGGCACCGGAGAAGATTCCTGCCTAGCTTATGTTTGCTTGCTGCAGAGCTTTCTCGAAATAAAAAAAAAACTTGAAAATCCAAAAGCAGAGGGAACCAGTCATTTGAAGTCAGCAACCTTAACATCTTGGCCACTAAGACCTATCATTTGCTAACTGATGTCAGAAGGAATTCTATAAATTACCTGTGCTTGAGAAAAATCCTCCTTTGTAAGGTAGTAGGGATAATATAACATTACGACTCTCTTTCCATTCCTTTAATGGAACACTGAAAATACGAAAATAATAAAAGTTGAATATAAAAATTAAAGCTTGTTTTTATATTAATAACAAATTAAGTGTACAGTTTTAATCATTTTAGTGGAGTCTGTTATTCAAATAACTAAGAGGCAAATTTTTATGCACATTTTTTTTGGAAAGAAACCTGTTAATTTCTTTTTATTTGGTATAATTATCATATTTCTTAAATATTGTTGTTGCTGCTTGAGTTGATGATGCTATAACATTTTGTTTAAAGTTTTTACGTCCTACCTACACTGTCATGGTCATATGATGACTTCTCAGCTTTACTGGGGGGAGGAAGACCTTAATTGCCCCTCCATGCATTATTTTTGGCACTATCAGGCACCCGAGTAGAAAGACTCACCCTAGCTGGATAGATTCCTAACATGAAAGAACCTAAAGTCCCTGTTAAGATTTGAACACATCAGTTAGGAACAAGTGGTCCAAAGGCAGTAACCTTAATCACTCTGTATCAGAGGTCCCCTATGACAATTATATCTCAGAATATATAAAATCTCTATATCTCAGAATATATAAATCTATATTTCTCAACATATATAATTCTACTAGTATATAATTATCTCAGAATATATAAATCTCTATATCTCTGAATATACAAGCTATATATCTCAGAATATATAAATCTATATATCTCAGAATATACAAGCTATATATCTCAGAATATATAAATCTATATATCTCAGAATATAGAAGCTATATATCTCAGAATATATAAATCTGTATATCTCAGAATATATAAATCTATATATCTCAGAATATATAAATCTGTATATCTCAGAATATATAAATCTATATATCTCAGAATATATAAATCTATATATCTCAGAATATATAAATCTATATAGAATATATAAATCTATATATCTCAGAATATATAAATCTGTATATCTCAGAATATATAAATCTGTATATCTCAGAATATATAAATCTATATATCTCAGAATATATAAATCTATATAGAATATATAAATCTATATATCTCAGAAATATATAAATCTGTATATCTCAGAATATATAAATCTATATATCTCAGAATATATAAATCTATATAGAATATATAAATCTATATATCTCAGAATATATAAATCTATATATCTCAGAATATATAAATCTGTATATCTCAGAATATATAAATCTGTATATCTCAGAATATATAAATCTATATATCTCAGAATATATAAATCTATATAGAATATATAAATCTATATATCTCAGAATATAGAAGCTATATATCTCAGAATATATAAATCTATATATCTCAGAATATATAAATCTGTATATCTCAGAATATATAAATCTGTATATCTCAGAATATATAAATCTATATATCTCAGAATATATAAATCTATATAGAATATATAAATCTATATATCTCAGAATATATAAATCTGTATATCTCAGAATATATAAATCTATATATCTCAGAATATATAAATCTATATAGAATATATAAATCTATATATCTCAGAATATATAAATCTATATATCTCAGAATATATAAATCTGTATATCTCAGAATATATAAATCTGTATATCTCAGAATATATAAATCTATATATCTCAGAATATATAAATCTATATAGAATATATAAATCTATATATCTCAGAATATATAAATCTATATCTCTCACAATATATAAATCTATATATCTCAATATGTTAATCTGTCTCACCGTATATTTCTGATATCAGAAACTGTGATATAGCCTTCTTGGGTTCCACAAGCAATACAAGTATCTGACAAAAAACAACAGCTGTTTACATCACCATGGCAATCTAGGTCAAAAACCTGAAATTACAAAATGTAAAATTTCCAGCAAGATATAAATCTTTAGAATATAAACCTATATGAATATTTGTAAGGCCAAGGCTGTCATTGAACTACAAAGCTTACCTATGTTTGCCAGATGGAAATATTCCTCACATGAATGGATTTATACCATCAATGGCAAGTACTGAAACCACAGTGTTAACCAGAAATAAAGTCTGAGAATTTAACCACTCACCTACTGAACCCCCTGAATTTTTTTTTTTTTGGGGGGGGGGGGGGGGGGGATCATGATTTTAAAATGCATGAATACAATCAAGCAATCCCACATTCACAGCTGTTGTATGAAAAATCTTGTTAGTTTGTATTTACCATTGTTAAACAACTTTTTTGAAACCGAGACATAACACATAAAGTTGTGCCAGATGACTGCATCACACCGGTGTAGATTGTGGAGACGGAAACTGAATCTTAGCTGCTGTCTGATTTGAAACTTTGACCACCAAATTAGTCCCTTACATCACTGTTCCCCATTCATATTGTAAATTAATATACTGTCAAATATTTTTAAACATTGCCAGAATAAAATGATTCAACTAAATGGGTTTTATAAGTATTCCAATTAAATTCAATTTTAAATCTATGTGTACTTCAGGTTAATTTAATTTTTAAAAGTCAAAAGTTGAGACATCACAGCATCCGCAAAACTTTACAGAATAACTCTATGAGTACAGCTTCCATGTTAACTTTAGACAGCCTACCTTTGTCCTACTCTGTAAACCATAGCCCTGTAAAACTCCTTTCTCACATCCAACTAGTAATAATTTACCCTCCGTTCCTACTTCTTTCTCACCTGTAAATAATATATTTTATTACATGCTTTTCGGTGGTTTATAGAAATATATCAGTGATATAAAACTGGTAATTTCACTGTTTGAAAATAAACCTTTTGGTGCTCACTCGGTGAAATATATTCCGATCTTACACTGAACTAAACAAATATCCTCTATATCATAATTTTTCACTTTTACTTGACTTGATTTTTGCATAATTCAATGATTACTTTCAAAAGGTTGTAAATGCCTATTACAGAGTGGTTTTTCCATTAATTCCTATAAATATTGAGTAACGATCTTGAAAATTTCATTGACATCAGGTCCCTAAGACTATTCTTGTATTAAAATATAGCAAGATTATTACAATGAAGCTTTCTTTATACATGTAGTTCTCTATTTCATGCAACAGTCAAATGTAACCCATTTCCCACCCATGCCTCAAAAATAGCAGGGATTTTTTATTTATCACGAGGACGTTAAATCACTGCACAGTAATTTCCCTGCAGGTGCCCCTACATTGCAACTTTGTTCCTTGTATGATCGTTAAAGATTGCATGAGAACATTGAGGTAAAAGGCTTAAACAACATTTATAAATATATACAATATAACATGCTATAATCATATACTAACTAGGTGTGTCTGTAGGTGTTCCTAGGTCAATGTTGGATTCTGTGTTCTGTAGGGTGCAACAGTTAACATTCCCAGCCCCACACTCTATTGTACCGAGGCACGTCTGTGACCCACAATCCCACAGTCGTACTGTACCGTCTCTACCACACGACAAAATATTTCTGCCACGGTCAATTATGGCTGTATCGAGAATACCTATGAAAAAAAAAATCAAAAACAAATCACTAAAATTAATTTCTTTTAATTAAATCTTATGAATTTAGACATCTTGAATCAGAACAATTAAAAACTAATATATTTCACTCAAATCAAATACAATGACATACTTATAAATTGTGTCATGGTCATGTGTAAGGTGTATTTTTATTTCTTGTACTTTGCTGTCAAGGACTTTATTTGTTTGTTTGTTTTTGTTTGGTTTTAAGGCGCATCAACACAGTTTAGTTCATATGGCGCCAAAACAGGAAAGATGATTTTGGCTAACCTCAAATGTTACAAACTTTAAGCAACACCAGCGGTCAAAACCACCTCACCAGCTGGAGCTAAGAGATGCATTGACTCCAATAATCATAATCCATTTAGTCGCCTCTTACAATCATGCAGGGTTAAGAGGTGGTTGTAATTCTGATGCCTAAACCTGTAAAGGCAACACCTCAGCCACAAGGGGAGTTAACAAGTACTGATCACACCTAACAATTCCAGGTCCTGGAAAGACCACTAACGTCAAAGAAGTTTCAGATCCAGTTACTCTTACAATAATACTTATTGTATTGTTCAATGACAAGAAATATTTGATTCTATTGTATTACCTGCTAGATGACCCTTCAAGGTTGCGGCACATTTTCCCGTCTCAGCAGACCATATCTTTAATTGCATGTCAGCACCGCCGGTCAGTATAACAACACCGGAGGGGAAAAATCTACATGTATATACATCTCCATAGTGACCTTCTAAATCTCTCTAAAATTAGTACAGAATATATCTGTTATGAATTGAAGTAATACCAAAAGTATTTCATAAATTTGAACAAAATTATGAAAGTGGTAAATATGAATAGATTACAGTCAACATAGTAAATAGCATGCATAAATTTTCATAAATGTAAAAAAATAACGAATTAATTAATTAAACATGCACAGAATTTATCATTTTATTAAGGCATTAGTTAAAACAAAAATTTCCATTTGCATCACATATATAAGCATAAACATATACTACTTTCATTTTCCATCTTTGAGTCTATGTCAACAGGTATGTATATACATGTACTTACCCTGACATCACCTGTCTGTGTTTCCCAGACCTTTAGTTTACCCTCTGAATCACTGGACACACCCAGACCCCCTGCTGTGACATCTAGACAATGTATCTGAAACACAATCAAACCCACCAACCAAGGTCAATATCATATATAAAGATTGACAGCATTATTGGTAATATCATTCTATCCAATTCACATACAAATTTTGAGATAGTTAAATCTAAATACACATGATCTTGACAATGTACAGTCAAATCTGTGTTAAGGAACCCCTCTGAATCAAGACCACCATGTGTAATTACAACCCTCTGAAACTATAAAGAACAAAGTGACCTCCAAATAAAGACCACTTGTCTATAAAGGTCCTGTTCAGTCTCTTCATTGGATGGTCTTTCTTAAAGGGTTTGACTGTATATTCTTACTTTTGTTGAGTCCACCTATTGTAGGATTTTCACAAGCTATGGAAGCTTTAATATTGGAATAATTCAGGTAACATCAAAAAATGAATCTGGAGGTCTTGGACAGTGACGAACAAGTACATTCTTTGAATGTGTGTGGTAAAATGTGAAAATACTTTAAGTAATTTATGAGATAGGAAGCTGGATGCAAAATATTAACCAAGTGCTAAACTAATGCCAATACCTGAGTTGGTAATATATAAAGACAATGAAGCTAAAATACATTGTATGGTTAGTAATATAAACAAAGTGATCAAATAAGAAAATAAAGTTTGAATTATAAATGTATCAAATTCAAGGATAAAACACTCTTCATTAAATGCAACACGAATCATAACAAACCAAAAATGTGTCCATGGAACACTGATGCCTTCCCATTTAAGTGTCTAGCCTGTCTGCTGATGGACAGTGTGATAGGGGACAGCCTGACAGACGTACGGACATACATGTCTTGCTTCAATTTTTGGAACAATCCATCATTATCAAGTTTGGGAATACATGTAGCAAGATGAATGTTTCAAGAGATGAAAACAGAGCCTTGTCAGTCAGCATGAATATGTTGACTGACCTAACTTCTGTACTGATGGCTTAGAACAAACAAATTTGTTTCCAGGTGGGTTAATAATATCTTACAATTTTTATACCATACCGGTATACGAAACATTAACTTTTTAACAATAAATGAAAAGTAGGTACCGATTTCCGTTCACTGTGTATGTTGTTAAATGTCTTAGTTGGTGCCACAAACTGTCTGCTACAACAAGTTTCGTCCTGCGTGTAACTGACCTCGATACTTCTCTGAAAGGAAATTAACTTCTAGTATTATAATGCTTGTACCAAACAGCAAATATGTAACAATATTACATATTTAGTCATAAAAAATGTAACAGGCATAAAAGCTGAAGATTTATGTTAAAAAAATAATTCCAACAATTATAATTATAATAAATAAACTTATAGGTGGAAGTTGGAAATCTTGTGAATCCTGAAAATTAAGCTGGGGGCCGCCAGGGCCCCCGGTGGATCGTTTAAAAAGCGTCTGCAATGTCTTGATGATCGCCAACATTCCCGATTGGGAGGGATTGGCTTTCCTGTTCGGAACTTATTGGCGGAACCCAGCTAGTCTATTTACGACCATAGCTGAACGCGCTCCAGGCTATCTCCGTAAAAACCTGAAACGAGCACCTTGCAATGGCGAATCAGTACTAAAAATAAAGCGCAAAACAGATCGAGTTACTGGAATTTACTTTCGTTTTCGTTTCAACAGTTCGAAAGTCGGGACATCGAAAATCCGGAACTTCCGGAGCAGTCCGGAAAACTTCCACCCATGTAAACTTAACACTGCTGTACCTGTGAAACTTTGAGCACATTAAATCCTTCAGAGGGCATGACATATGGCACACCATCTCCTGAAATCCCATGAGATTCAAGTTGTCCATGAACTGTCTCTCTACCTATGAAAATAAAAACAAGAATAGCCCTTAAACTGCTTACCTAAGGATATACCAGGTAGTTTCAATGAAAATTTCATTAGGTCACTCCTATGAAGTTTCATCAAAATCTGCCAAATGGCTGAGAAGAAGATATACATTAAGTCCTCATTCTATATCTAGCATGCAGGCAGAGCCACCAGGTTTTTTTCTTGCTGCTTACAATCTAGTTTCCAAAATGAGAAATATTATTATTTCACTGTAAATTTGGAGAAACCTGAAAATTAAGCCTTATGAATCAAATTTAAATGCATGTTTCTATCTTGTTTTAATCAACTTACTTTTGTAAAATATGCTTCTTCATTCTCACAAAATCTAACATGAATTCTAGACATAGATTTGAAAAACATGTGCATATAATATATATAATGAAGAACCACTTTGATTAAAAGACTCTAATTTAAATATGGAAACATTTGGAATGAGTTCACAAAGAATTTGTTAACAAATTAGATAAAGATTAATAAAAGAATACTTATGTTGAATAATTTCATACAAAATGCTTTCGCAAGCATCAAAATTATAAGGAAGAATGAATTGGAAAGGTATAAAACCCGGCGCCTCTCCAATTTTTCTCAATAAAACTGAAGGAAAACACTGCACCACCTTACTTTTTTTATTTCTTGATTAGTTTTATAATATTGGTATCAAATGAAAGATTTCTTAATAAGCTTTCAAGGGATACCTTGAAAACAAAAATGAAACAAGTACAAGTATTTAAATTTTTGTCTCAAAGTTTATCATTTTTCCTCTGAAAACTACACTCTCAAAATTAATTTGGTGAGAAAAACACTTTGCACCTACCAGAACACTTGAAGCTGACCCAAACTTTCCCATTATGTTCCCTGAAAAAGAAAGAAAAGAAAGAAAGTGTAACTACATTTTATTTGGTGAGTGATTATTCTAGCTGCATCCTCATTTTTGAATAATCTTGTATCGTATCATCATTCAGTATTTAAGGTGATATGGCCTCTTATTCAACAAAATATGTGCTTTAAGTTAATTAAGTTATATGTTCAACAAACAACATCAAAGGAAGGCGCCAAAAACTAATTTAACTTTTTAAGGCAGGGTTATACATGCCAAAACAATTGTTATGTCATAACTTTGCTACAGTGCCTTTTCATTGATTTTAAGAGTCTGATGTTATTTGATACTGATTGAGAAACTAATGCTGATATTGAGTGTTTCTTTGATAATTAAGGGATTCAGGGAGATTAACAGATGACACGATTATAGGCATGTCGCATGTTGTTAATAGGCTGGCTAGAACCATTAATTACTGATTGTGTTCACAGAAACTTTGTCTTAAACTGTCGTCATGAAATTTTTCAAAAAGCACCTGACAGTATTCTTCATTTGAAATCAGGCACAAAGTGACATTTTGACAAGCATACAATTACTATTAATCTTTGTCTTCGATCATGAAAAAACCTCTAAAAATTAACTTGGTGAGTTATTATACTTATACCAGTAGGATGATTCTGGGCTAAGCCCTTTTTAAGCCTCTCTTCTTTTGACTTACTCTCTTTGCAAATATTTGATTTTAGTCTCATCACTACGTTGTATTATATTTATTCATATTCACTTATACATATTTCAGTTTACACTGCTGTATAATTTTAACAGCATGATGTTACAATTTAACATTTTATACTTTATATGGAACTTCTCAAGTTCAGTGTTGATCTAGCTTGATTTTGAATCATTTACCATGCTGCAGTCAGTCTATTTACCCTATGATACCCCAAGACACCACAAGACCACCGCAAGATACTTTTATTGACAAGTAAATACCATCTTCATTTTACTTTGTTTACGGGAGGTAACTATGCACAAGTATGCATCAAATTATCTCCCTTCATTTATTTCCCTGTATTTTTAATGTAAAATTATAAATATATTCTCTTTTTGTGCAAAATAGTTTACAACAATGAAATAATGCCAAGGTTGCGGGGTTTTGGTGTAGTGCAAGTTTAATTCTGCGACAATGTCATATTTTGATTATTTAATCAATCATATTCTGTTTCATAATATTGATTTTTTTTATTTCATCTGCCCCACATTTCATTAGATTAACATAGTCTTACTGTTTCAGTAAAGTTGATTTACATCAAAATATTTTTTTGCTATCAATATAAAGAGCATACTGTGCTCCTGTTAGTTCAAGGTACTTAACACTTTGAAACCAGAAAGAAAACAACAAATGAAACTTATGGTACAAAAATTGTCATAAGCTATAACATATAGGTGTTTTCTGCTGTATGGCGCAAGGAAACAACAACATATTCTGTCAAAGTCAATTTTAATGGACCAAACGTAGACCATATGTCGGCCATTTTGAAAACAGTGTGTCATTATTTAAATCGCGGTAATGGTGTTACATTTCAGTTTTTTCATGTTTCATTGACAATTTCTACATGTTATTTTGCTTGATTTTAAATATCAAAATTATCCTTACTATGTAGCTCAAAATTTATTTTTTTCAACAAACAAGAACATTTAGAAAATGATGATTGTTTCCGACAAACGCAAAAATTTAATGGACTATTGTTGCTTTTTGGAGAAATTTGTAAAATGTTGTTCTGTTTTACATAAAAATCTAGAGATTTAAAACATTTTGCACAGAAACTTTGTTGTATTGATGTATGAATGAAATATGTCAATTCTGACCAATTTTAACACTGGTCACATGAAAATAAGCCATTACCGTGAAATAAGTGTTGACGCGGAATTAGTGATGTTGAGTACACATATCAATAAATATTTTTGTGATGAAAAAAGTACATACATAATTAACAATATTTGATTATTGGACAGATGTAAATAATCAGACATCGTATATAATAAAACTTTCCCAATTTACAAAATATATAAGTGTCTTGGGGTTGGCCTAGTCCTGGGACTAAAAATGTTTATATTTCTGTCCCAGAGTAGTCTTTGGGTGTCTTGGGGTAGATCGGCCCAACATGCTGTGGTTCATTTTTCATATTGTCACCTTGGGCCTTTCCAGTGTATTAAATTCAATGCAAATTGGCTATTGGTTATTCTATCGCTATACTGGGATTTATCATTATAAATGGTCACTCACTCACTGGTTGTCCGGACTTACAGTTACACAAAAATGAAAAGAACAAATCAATAAAATTTTAAACCTTTTGTTGAGTAGATCTAGTTTAATCAAAAAAGTATGGCATGATAACAAATCTCCTAAATTTAATGTAGCTTGATCTATAAGTGGCTCTGGGGCAATATCCGGTTAACGCCCCCTGGGGGCATTTGCATTTCCTTCTTTCTTTTACCTCTGTTTGTGCGCGATTGTTATTTTCATCTGTGTCATTAAGACGCTTGCATATTGTAATTAGTCACGTGATACATATATATAGAAGTTAAAATCTCAAAATAATCAAATGATGCTTAACCCCCTCCCATGAACTAAAATCGCCGCACATGTAAAATAATACAATTTAGCAAGTTTATTATTATTTAAATAATTGGATAAAAAAACCATTATGATCACATAAGGTCATACGCTTGCTGGACCAATAATATACAAAAGCTAAAATATTTCTGAATTTCGTCCACCACGAAGTTCTACATAATTATATAATGTAATGAGTAAATTGACAAGTATAAATAAGTTGTAGCGGATTTCACGTGGATGAGAAAGCACGGTTTTGTCGTGTTTTTCTTTTTTATTTCGTGGGCAACAAAAGGGATACATTATGTGAACTAATAGTACTTTTTAGGTACTGATTTAAATCTTAATTTTGTAATGGAAGCGTATTTATTTTTTGGCGTTATTTGATGGATTATGTGAAATTCATATAAAATAAACAACGATACGCATACATTTTCGTCCCGGGTAAGTTACCTCTTTGTTTTAAATATGGTTCATTCCGTAAGAAAGTATTTTCAGACATTTCCTTCAAAAACAATGCCCAGTCACATTTGGTAGAATAATTAACGGAATGAATGTTATTAAAGCTGAAAGTATGGTCAATATCGACATAATATATATTGTCAAAAGGCAGATGCCCCGGGAGAGTTTCCGACTATGTTAAACTAGCGTAGGCAAACGTCCCGGGAAAGTTGCCTTTTTGTTGTAAATGTCATTCATTCCGTAATATATATATATTCAGATACTTCCCCCAAAACAATGCCAAGCCCCATTTTTTAATTTATAAAGGCCCCCGAAGAAAACCCTCTTCCCGGGGAGAACTTCCCCTTCAGTAGCATTTTAATATAGAATGAAATATATCCGTCGCTATATATATACTCTGGTTTTCTGCCCCGGGGCAGATAACCAGAGTATATATATAGCGAGAAATATTTAGGAAACATTACATACATGCTACTTAAGGGGAAGTTTTTCCCGGGAAGAGGGTTTTCTTCGGGGGCTTCAATGCTTAACAAAATGGGGCTTGGCAATGTTTTGGGGGAACTGTCTTAATGACTTCTTTTTACGGAATGAACACATTTACCGTAGAAGGCAACTCACCCGGGAAAGATTCCTTATATGCAGATGTAATGGTAGGAATAGCACCCGGGTGATTTACCTTTTAGCATATATGTATACGTTCATTCCGTAAAATGTCATTCAGATACTTCCTCCAAAACAATGCCAAGCCCCATTTTTAAATTATAAAGGCCCCCGAAGAAAACCCTCTTCCCGGGGAGAACTTCCCCTTCAGTAGCATTTTTTAATATAGAATGAAATATAACCGTCGCTATATTTTTGCATATATATTATACAGCATGTCACTGAAGGATAAGATTTCTCAGGGAAGAAAATTGGATTTGCAATCTTTTGGGTGAAGAGTGTTAGTGAATTCAATTTACGGAATGAACATATGTTGTGTACAAAGGAAATCATTATAATCATTAACTGGGTAAATTCACAGGTTCTATTTCTCCCGTAGTGAACCCTTTTGAAATCTTGTTTTATGTGTTACTACCATATATGGATATATAGGGTCACAATAATTTCGTGACTCTCGCGATTGCTATTGTGCATAAAGTAAAGAAATGTCAAACAGAAATCGTGAAATTTACGGACGTTACTTCTGTACATTGAATTTTTAAGAATATTGATTATGTTAACGGGTTAAATGCTGTTATATTTCTTGACTGGGTTCATTTGATAGTTTATGCACGTGACCTTCCTGCTCACAAGCATTTTAAAGCGTTATTTATACTTTTTGAAGGCAAGCGTCTACATGACCCAGATCACACCTAAACGGCAAATGCCCCCAGGGGGCGTTAACCGGATATTGCCCACTATGGCATAAAAAATCGTAAATAAATTCTGATAATACCTTAAAACCTCGTCAAAATCACTTTGCAATATAATTCTGTCCATGGGCGCCGCCATTTTGTTTATTTATTTACGGACGACTATTTTTCAAGTCATCATCATCGCCGAATAGGTTTATAGGCATACATATAAATAATTTTAACTGACATTACTTGATTTAAATATATATGTAATATTTATATTTTTGTATAAATGAGAGATGTAGATGACAGATATAAGCAGTTCCTATATACTCCAATGAGAAATTTCAGTTGTACTTTTTTAAGTTTATTTTGAGTTTAAATTAAAGCTTCTACACCTATGGTTTGGTTTATGGTGAATTGGGCATTTTTCCATTAGAAGCAAGAGTTTTGTGTCTCTAGAGTAAAATTATTAATGCTATGGAAAACTTCTTTATAAAACAATGTTGATTTTGCCCTCTAGGAATATTGTTATAATTCTAAATGGATAAATTATGTGAACGAAACGCTGAGTAATCATGGTATGTCAGATTATTTTCATCTACAGAAAGTAGATAATATTAATCACTTTAAAATATTGTGAAGTTTAGACTACATGTTCATTTTCTACAATATTGGCATAGTACTATTATAGTACACCTTTTCAGTGCTTAGTCATCGTTCATATAAAATACTCATTGTTTTGAAAAATATCTAGATGTACAACGTACTTCAATTTGACATAAGCAAATACTGATGTAAATTTAGAACAAAGAACAACCTATTCCCTTTGAAAAAGGCAAACATTTGGCAATTGATCATAATAATAGGCTCTGTTCCTTATTGGTGATGAATTTCACTTCTTATTTGAATGTTCGTATTTTAATGACATAAGACGTAAATCTCTTCTTCCCAGTTTTTATATGAATTCATCCCAATATTTTTAATCTTGACAAATTAATGAACAGTTGTGATAAAAAGATTCTACTAAAATTATCTTTATTTTGTAAATGCATTATGTTAAGATTTAGATAATTAATACTTCTCATTCTCCGTTCCCATTTGTTACAATGTAAAATACATGTTGTATTGAATTCAGTAGTTAAAATGAACGATATGATTTCCTTTTTTTTTGTTTACAATGTATTTATCTAGTCATAATTGTATTCTTTTATTGTGATATTAATGATTTTTTACTGTTATTTTTCTGTTCGTTTGTTTGTTATAACCAGTTGCATATTAAATGCCTTGGTTTAATAAAAACTTAAATATCACTCATGTGCGTCGTGTTGGCGCTAGCGACAACAGGACAAAGCGTCAAATGGCGCGTTGTCGGAATTTTGTCTTGTCGTTCTGTCGCTAACGATGTACGCCAAACGACGCGTTGTCGTGCAGCGTGTTTTCACGATGTCACATTGTCACTCGGTTCAAATCGGAGGATTGGCTTATAAACCAAGCGACAGGGCGAAAACGCGCCGCACGACAAACGCGCCGTTTGGCGTGCTTCGCTAGACGCAGAACGACAGCGCGACAACTCGCTGTTTGGCGCTTTGTCGTGTTGTCGCTAGCGACAAGTCGAAAAGGCGATACCGATATAGGTTGCGTTGTTGTTATCGACAACGCAACGCGCAATGTACCAAATCAGCCACCATACTCATGTATATAATTATCTATGTCTCCGTATCGATGTTTCAATTTTAGACTGTCATCTTTTTTAGTAACGCGATTCTTTGATACTTTTAGCTTCTGATTACAATAAGCGCAATAAATATGTCAGAAACTTATTAATACTGTATACATGTATATTAAATATAGTTCTGTGAATATGTTAAACACAATTAGATCTGAACTTAAGCTAAGATCGAGGTGGAAATCTATATATTCCCATATAGGCATAATTATATAAAGTAACACAATAATATCTGTACTCGAGTAGAGGAAGAAATTCTTAACAGATAGCAATATCAGAGATGAAGAAAACATATGTTATCTATATCTCTGGCAATACATAAACTGCAGGTTATTTTCCAAAAGTCAAACGATGAAGGCTTAATGTCATCCTTGGAAATGGAATCTGCACGCGAAGCCCCATATTAAGAAAAGTGATAGGTCAATGGTCATTTTTCTTAACATGTGTTTTGTGTAAGGTTAAGTAACACATAGTTTCCTGTTCCATTATCAAACATTTTACTAACCATTACATCCTTTACAACCCCCAACAAGGTTTCATGAAAAAGGTCATGTGTTATCAACTTGTTATGTTGGTAGACCCACAATGATCTGGTCACCTCAGTCTATGAGAAAAAGCAAGTATAAATCCTAATATTTTAGATTTCAGTAAGGCTTTCGATCAGGTCAGTCATGAGAAGATACTGCATGTTGAAAAAATATGACTATGGAATCAGAGGTCAAACTTTAAGATGGGTCTCGCGTTTTCTAGATAACAGGCTGCATACATCTGTGCTGAATAATAGCAGCTCAAATCCGACCCCATGAAGTATCCTCAGGCGTCTCCAAGGCTCAGTTATAGAAGCTGATATAAATAACCTCCCACAAACATTTATTCCCAGGTCCGCTCGTTTGCAGACGATACTGCAATGTACATTACTCTGACATCTGTAAACCAATCAGTCACCCTGCAAAAGTGGGAGTGAGTTTGACTTGGATATGGACTCTTATCCCTCCAAGTGTCAAGTTATCCACGCCAAAAAAAAAAAAAAAAGAAACATCATATCCCAACGCAATACTACCTTCATGGAGTTCAATTAAAACTGCTTATCTCAGCATAGATATATCAGAAAACCTTACATGGGATGTCGTACTTACAGACGTTTGTATAGATGCTAGGTTATCCCTTTTCTACAAGATTCACCATGATCAGGTTGCTATTCCCATAGAAGAATATGTGACACCCCTCTTCAGGTCTCGACACTAACTTTTTTCAGCAGGTGGTATGCCGGACCACTGGATCCAAAATTCAGGTGGTCCTTTCTGAACACAGGTGGTCCATCTTTTTTTTTACTCATTTGTTTTTAAGGAAACTTCAGATTTAGAAGAACTACACTTAAAATTGGTGACAGAGACATATTTATTATTAGATTTATAACAACTGAAGAAAACATGTATTTTTCTATTTCAATCTTAGATCAGATAGTAAGTCATTGTAATCCTATTTAGTATTTATTATCTCATTGAAAAATACATGACAGTACTCATACTTCGGTTAAGTGACTTCTTCCGCGACTCAAGTTAGGGAATAATGAAACCATTTGTGAATGACTTATTTCCTTACTGTTATTCAAATACTCGTACATCTTATAAGAATAATAATTGCTTTTAATATATTAACATTTTTAATTAAACTATTATATTCTTGTCTTTGAAACAATGAAATATTAATGATAGACAGAAAAAATCCTACATTATAATTGAGATTATCTTCCTCACAGATTTATTATACATGATTGTCTGTTGAAATTTATTTATTTTTGACAAAGTATTTATAACCTTTTAAAGTACTTTAAATAAGAAAAAAATGGATTTCTGATCGTTTAAAAAAGAAGCCAAAGATTACTAGATATTTAATTTTTCCTTTGCCTTTGTTTTGTACCATTATTCATGTGTTTATCCGATATCCCATAGTGATACAATGTTATAAATTCAATGCAGTACTAGAGACATTTGAATGAATTTTATACTTTAATTATTAAAATAATTTTCTTCTTTTTTAACTACACTGTTAGCGAGTTAATAAAAAGCTATGGATGTCTTAAGATCTTTTTGAACTAATGAGATGAATGAACATATACCTGTACATCGGAAAAATGGTTTTAAACAACAATTATAGAACACGTTTTTCGACCAAATAATCATTCTCCCAGATGAGCCCGGCACCATTTGGAAAATTCATGTGGTCTAACGGACCAGCATCCGCGCAGTCTGATCAGGATCCATGATGTTTGCTTACAAACCCTATTACAATTAGAGAAACTGATAGCGAACAGCATGTTTCCTGATCAGAGTGCGCGGATGAGCAGGCTGGTCTGGATCCATGCTGGTACATGTAGCAAACCCATTATGTTGGTTTTGTCATGGCGCGGCTCAAATAATTTCATACAGACGCTGGGAACATGTTTACTTGGATTTATTAAAATTCAGAGTTAGTTTCTGTTCTCTGTACTAGAAATATCTATCCTAAAGACAGGTTGTTCACAGAATCTTCAGACATCCCAAGTTACTCTGACCTTATGTTTGAATAACAATATATTTAATCCGTGCTATTTTGTTAACAAATAATATTATGATGTGGTGAAATTGTTATAGTATATAGCAACTCATCCGATCATTAGATTATCTATGAATTATAAATTCTCCTTGATTTAAACATATTTTATTGTTCTTTTCATACACATTTATGACATTATATTATCATAATATAAACACAAAAGTAGCAAAAAGGTTGAACCAGGAGGGAGTTCTTACAACATCAGCAAACGGTTCTTCCCTGAAATAAATGCTCCTTCTTTACTAGGACTGTATACCACTGGAACCATCTACGCCCAGCAGTCAGTACAGCCATAGCTAGCATTGAACAATTGTCACCCTTACGTTCCAGCCCCTTCCTGTTTTAACATATTTGGTATTATTTTTTTGATCCTCTTTAAAACAAATCTTTCTCGCAAAACTTCCTTGCGATTTTGAAGCGCAGACATGTCTACGTCCCCTCGATGGGTTTTAGCATTATTGGAAGGTAGAATATTAATCATACCAAATTAAATAAGTTAAAATTATATAAGATTCATAAAATTCAAAACAAAAAGAACACACATGCACACAAATACACGCACGCACGCGCGCACGCACCAACACACACACACACACATACACACATCTACGGTGGCTGATTTATGCCACGTCTTATTTCACAAAAATTTTAACAAATGCCTTTTTTTACGTGAATAAACATAGACCTATCCTATGAAATGAATCAATGCTTTGTATAACTGGCTTTCTTGTCGCCCTTCGAAAAATCGGAACACCTCGGGCGACTTCAAGAATTCGAACTTGAGGGAGATTGCCGAGTTGTTACGATTGCCTTCGAAAATGTGATATCTTTAAGGCCAGGCGTAAATCAGCCACCATACTAACCAACACGTGAAGGGGAATTTATTCAGATAAATTTTACATGGTTTTAAAAAGAGCAATGAAAATAAGATAAAGATGTACACATATTCATATTTTTTGACAATGCTGAAAAGAAATAAAAAAATAATGCCATTTTATAATTGGTTTTAATCTGTTACAAGAAATGCAAATACGCGCGCGCAAACCTCAAGTGCCAGGGAGTAACATTAAATTTTATCATGTTGTTGCATTTAACGTGGGCGCCGACCGCCTGTGCTCGTAGGATCCGGGTTCGCAGTGAGAACGTTCTTTTTTTTAATTAAACGGATCTGTTCAGAATAAAATGCGACATGTAAGGAATGTTTAAGGTTAACATTTTTGCAAACCGCAGCAACAAAAGGGACCGTATTATGACTTGTGCATTAAAGCTTGAAATTATGTAGTCATATTATGTCATCCATATAAATTCATTGTACTATGATGAATGGTGTATGTCCGGCATTTTTATTGCATAATTAAACCCATTAAAATACCGTGGTCATGGATTCGTGGATTAAAGCCACAATTGTCATTTTTGATACGCAATGAAAACATGAGTGAACATCTAAGATACTCGGTCGATGAAAAACTTGTTAACTTGCACAATTTTATTTCTTCGTTTTAATATGCAAATATATATAAGAATTATAAACATGATATCAATTGAACATATCAATAAATATATAATATATTAGACAGTTATTAAACATCATAAACTAAGGGTACAGGACAAAATTTAAAACTTAGATCTCGTGTTAAATAAAGCCAGTAAATTCTGACGTAAAATTAACTGTTCACTAGAAAATGTAATCAGATTAAACAGACCTTAATATCAAAATAAAAATGAAGAAAAATCTGCTGGAAACGTCATTAAAGGCGTATTTTGCCTGAGAAATGAACAGTTATTCTTTATAAGAACAAGAAAGGACAAACATTTCTTAAAGACGTTTTTTATAATGGTTAAGAAACATATTAGAAGATTTTCACCGGAAGTAAGGAACGCTGAATGTGAAATACTTTGGTATAAAAGCAAAGCGTAAACAAAATACAAATTAGTAATTTATCTCTAATTGTACTTTTAGTAAAAAAAAATTAAATATGATTCAGCTATATGGCATATATGGTTTTCAGTTATATGGCATATATGATTTTATGTCATATGGCATATACTAGTATGATTTTTAGTAATATGGCATATATGATTTTCAGTTATATGGCATATATGATTCAGTTACATGGCGTATGATAAGCTTTTTGGAAACTGTAACAGAACACCTAAATTAAATAATATTTGGAAAATAAAATTATTTTTATGTTTGAGGCTGACTAGATCTTTAAGTAAAGGAGTTGAGGTATTTAGTGCATTGATGAGAAGAATAATCACTCTGATAAATAGCCATATTGTTATGGTCATTAAGCTTTGTCCTGTATAATATGCAAACATGTCACTTTGTTGCATTTTTTTTCTGTACAAAAACGCCGCCAAGTAATTTGTCATCTACAAACACACGAATAGTCATCTACATACACGTGCATAGTCATCTACATAACCAGTATAGTCATCTACATTCACGAGAAACACGAGAAAAGTCATCTACATACACGAGTATAGTCATCTGCATACACGAGTATAATCATCTAGATTCAATAGTAAAGTCATCAACAAACACGAGTAAATTCATCTTCATACACGAATATAGACATCTACATACACGCGTATAAACATCTGCATACACGAGTATAGATATCTACATTCACGACTTTAGTCATGTAGATACACGTGCATAGTTATCTGCATACACAAGTTAAGTCATCTACATACACAAGTAAAGTCATTTACATACACGAGTAAAGTCATCTACATACACGAGAATAGTCATCTACATACACGAGAATATAGGTCTACTTACACGTGTATAGTCATCTACATACAGGAGTATAGATATCTACATTCACGAGTATAGTCATCTACAAACACGTGTAAAGTCATATGCATACACAAGTAAAGTCATCTAAATTCACGAGTATAGACATCTACATACACGAGTATAGTCATCTACATATATGAGTAAAGTCATCTATACAAACGAGTGGAGTACTCTACATAAACGAGTATAGCCATCTACATACACGAGTATAGTCATCTACATACACGAGAATAGTCATCTACATACACGAGTATAGTCATCTACATACACGAGAATAGAAATTCACATACACGAGTAGAGTCATCTACATACACGAGTATAGCCATCTACATACACGAGTATAATCATCTACATACACGAGTAGAGTCATCTACATACACGAGTATAGCCATCTACATATACAAGTACAGTCATCTACATACACGAGAATAGAAATTCACATACACGAGTAGAGTCATCTTTACAGACGAGCAAAGTCATCTACATACACGAGTATAGTCATCTACATGCACGATTATAGTCATCTACATACATGAGTATAGTCAACTTCATACACGAGTAAAGTCATCAACATATACGAGTATAGTCATCTACATACACGAGAATAGAAATTCACATACACGAATATAGTGATCTACATTCACGAGTATAGTCATCTACATACACGAGGATAGTCATCTACATAGATATCTATATACACGAGTATACTCATTCACATGTACAAGTATAGCCATCTACATATACGAGTACAGTCATCTACACGCACGTGTACAGTCATCTACATACACGAGTGTAGTCATCTACATACACGAGTATAGTCATCTACATACACGAGAATAGAAATTCACATACACGAGTAGAGTCATCCACATGTACAAGTATAGTCATCTACATACACGAGAATAGAAATACACATACACTAGTATAGTCATATACGTACACGAGTATAGTCATCTACATACACAAGTAAAATCATCTACATACACGAGTAAAATCATCTACATACACGAGAATAGTCATCTACATATACGAGTATAGACATATACGTACAAGAGTATAGTCATCTACATACACAAAAATATTCATCCAATACACTAGTATAGTCATCTACAAACACGAGTTCAGTCATCAACATACATGAATATAGTCATCTACATACACGAGTATAGTCATATTCATACACGAGTATAGTCATCTACATACACAAGTGTAGACATCTACATACACTAGTTTAGTCATCTAATTGTACGAGTATAGTCATCTACATACATGAGTATATTCATCTACATACACAAGTATAGACAACTACATTCACGAGTTTAGATATCTACATACACATGTATAGTCATCTGCATACAGTCATTAAACAACACGTGTAAATTCACCAATAACACGAGTATAGACATCTAAGTACACATATATAGCTATATACATACACGAAAATAGTCATGTTCATACACGAGTATGTACCCGCATTTATGTCATCTATGTACACGAGTAAAGTTATCTATCTACATGCAAACCGGGTTGCGTGTTAATCAATGTCAAAACACAGCAGAGCCCCGGTGATGGTCAAATGCAGGCAGAGCTACGGTGGAGCCAGAACAAGACGGTACAAGACGTTTGCCTCAACGCTCCGGTTTGACCCGGTATTGTCCCGGATATTGCCGGCAAGTCCCGGTTATACAACGTTATGAACGGTGGCATCACGACCTTTTGCCGATAACAGGCAATTTAAAGAACAGGTATATATACACCTGAAGTGCTACTTTGAATAATTTAGTTCAGTCAAGACGAAGAAGGTCCTTTCTCTGCTATTTCTTCTGATGCATGCTTTCCTTACTGTCCTTTGTAACAATATGTCTTTAAAGTTGCAACTGATATTATTGTTATTGTTGTTATTGGTTTATAAAGATTCTACTGATCATACTCTAGAAAATATATTCATAAATTTCTGGACTATAGGAACGCCTCCTTATTAGTGATTGGTTAATTGATTTCTGCGTTGATATTATCGATATACAATTCTCCTTTCGAGGAGAAGCGATAGAGAGATGGATAAGAACAGATCATAAAAATAAATGACCTGGGTTGTTGTTGTAGCTATGGAAATAAACTTAGAAATGACTTTGTAGTTGTTGTTTAACTCCCATCCAGTTACATGGGTATTGGGTCGTTTCAAAAGGTACCTCAACCTCTGTGGGCGTTGTAAGCACAGTTTTTCGAACTTTCTTCCCCTTTCCTTTAGGTGGCATCTCTGCTGTTTTTTACCAAATGACTGATGTCAACGTGGTCAGCAGTGTAATTCTCATAAACTTGAACCGGAAAGCATCTGCGCATTACCTGGACGTCACTGGGACAGTTCCGGCATCACCGTAACTTAAACGTGACGAAATCGGCGATAGTCGGGATGGACCGTGAAACCGTGTCTAGTCGGGTCTCCACCGGGATCAACCGGGAATACACCGGGTTAGCAGCGGCTTTTACCAAATATATCCGGTGCTATAACGCAATTTGATTTTTCAGAAAAAAAAAAAACATCACGGAACACCCCGGTTCACCGGTTTAAGACACCGTAGCGATATCGTGAACATTACCAGGACAGTGTAAATGGGGCTTTAAGATTTGTCATACACTGATTTCCACAATATAATCATTCAACGAGCGAAAAGCTTTTTGATTGATATTTTTTTTGGATATTTTTATTGTGAAAAAAGTGTAGGCTTTAAGTGTACTTTAAAATGCATTATTGTTTCAATGTCGTGCATGTACTTTAAAGTACCGGTATTTACATGTACATGTACTTCAAAACAATGAAGGATATTATGCTTCAGCTTAATTAGTGTTATAATCTTAACAAAACATGCATATCATTATCAATTTAACTGGGGGAGGCTGCGGTTTAGCATTCAATGAATACCTATATATAGAATGCTTTTCGGATGCACAGACATTCCTTCAAAAAGTGATTACTGCGAAGGACTGATATAAATAAGCGATTTCCAGTAGAAGCGGATAAATCTTACGACTAGACACCTTGTGAAATACAACAAAAAGGTAAGCATTTTAAAATAATTGTTTTCTTTTTTTGCTATTTTATGTTTTTTTTACTCATTTTTTAATTAATTTTAATTTTTCTTTTGCAAATTATTGAGACAATTAAAAGATATCAATTTACAACAATTTTTAAGTGGACCTGACTTGTTTGAGAAATATCGGAAAATGTTTTAGATAAAATATAAATTTTCCTAAAGTATAAAAAGACTGCCCACTTCTTTAAAAATTAATTGAACGTTACAGGTAAATTCCAATGGATATATATATATATATATATATATATATATATATATATATATATATATATATATATCTATCTGTGAAAAGATATATATATATATATATATAATATATATATATATATATATATATATATATATATATATATATATATATATATATATATAAAGAAACTTATTTGGGCCACGCGAGCTTTTTATCTTTCATTCGAAAATAAATTATAAAATTTACAGAAATTATGGGAAAATGTTAACTTATTTTCACCTGTTCACTCACTTTATATTCTTGAGTGAGCATAATATAACTAATTGACAAAGAAGTTGATTCTATTTGTTTAACTTTATGACACATTTTGTGTCAAGTTTGTTGGGGCCTTCTAATGTGCTTGTTGCTGAGAATGCACAGGACATCGGCAGAAGATTTGAAGGCGAAATAAGACCAGAACTTGAACTGCGGCCCAGCGGCCGTTGTCGTGTCTAATGCCGAGGGGAGTGGCCCTACGATATAGGCAGAGAGACGACGAGGATAACTCACGAAAACTTTATTTCGTGTAGTTAAGTTAATTTTATTGATAAAGTACACAATTGAACTTTGAAGAATAACTAACGAAATATCCTGAGCTAAAAAGTAAAACAAACATGGTTTAATAGCACAATAATGAATGTTTCTCTGAAATAAAGGCATACTTGTGCTTAATTATAATGAATAAAGAAAAGACATGCAAACGTAGCATACTTTTCAATCTGTGATTCTTTTCACAGATATATATATTAGTACATAACAATGTTGTAACAAAAGTACTTATTTGAAACTGCAATAAGTTTGTTTATTGTAATTTACGATTCCATTTCGACAGGGTACTTTTGATGAAGTTAGTTTGTAAAAAATCAGTATTTTTGTACCAGAAATGTTAAGAAAAAAAAACAATAAATTATTTTTTTTATGATGAATTGATCCTTATTTTTTTTTATCAAATTCATACTACAATTTGTATTGATATTCATAAATTCAATTCGAAAATGAGTCTTAACTTTTGCAAATCAGCATTAATTTCATCATTTTGAATATAAACCAAACTAAAGAACCTTTTATAATTAATGTAAGTTGTGTTTCTAAACAGCTGGTGTCAAGTGTCTTGTGGCAACTGTTAAAAGTTGCCTTGTACTTCACGTTAGTGTTGTTACTTTTTATGGTCCTTCGGGATAATTGATCAAGCACATTAAGTTTCGAAGATTTAATACCGCTTAAGCCGGTACTGGGGCTGTGGGGCATGAAGGATGTTACACTTTTCCATTATCCCACTTGAACAGAATCAATCAAATTGAGTCTGCAATTTTCATTTTCTTTTGTTGATTTCATTGCCTCCGAAGGATCGCCCCTTTTTTCCAGATTTAGGATAATTTGATCCTAAAATGATTCATTTTATTGTGAACATTGATTACGTTTACACCACATTCTCTGTTTTGCATAAAAATAACTAATTCCATCGCCGTTGAAAAAAAAATTTCAAAAATTTTCATTAAATGCAGGGTAAACACAATGCCAAAACGACGACACAGTGGAGCATTATGTGAAAATGAAAGGAGGACGGCGGATGAATACACAGTTTGCCTGGAAGCAGCCGACAAACCTTTAGGCGCATGTAGAGGTGTAGTTAGTATAAAATTAAGAGGCAACGGCAAAGAGGGCTACGAAGAACAATTAGCCGTGGCTAGTTTTCCTGACAACTTTGAAAGGGGTTTCAAGAACATTTTCAACATTGTTGAACCAAAGGTGAATATATATCTAATTTCTAACGGATGTTAACCCGTTATACTTGAGACACAAATAATTATAGGTAATTAAGCGTCTATATCAGGATAGCAATGTATGATATTAAGAAAGGAAAAATAATGCATTGCATTACATAATTATGTATGGTCAAAAAGGTGTTTGACTATAATTTTCTCTTTTGAGATGAATCAGTATTGGTACATGTATTACATTTATGTGAGGACATACATTCTTGAAAAATTAACCATTCCGGTAAGTATTTCATTTTTGTTAACCTGTTTCTGTATTTCTTTTCAAAAATGTTACACGCTTTATTGCTCATTCATATTGGTTAATAAAAATCAATTCTACATCACAGCTTGACGTTATTGATGAACTCGAGATCCGAGGTGATTCCATGATTGGTGCGAGGGGTTGGAAACTTGATAGACTCACGGTAACCAACAAGGACACTGGAGCCCAATCAGTTTTTCCTGTATTCACAAACATAAAAAGTGACCAAACCTACAAATTCAATTTAAACGACGTATCACTTCCACAGCAGAGTTCAAATAAAAGTTGGTATTCAAAATAAATTATTTTACTTAGATGACATTTAAGATAAGGATGATTTCCAAACCATTGATGTAGCATGGGTAAAACAAGTTGCCGCCACCACCAGCTTAAGGTGATTTTTAAAAGTATTGAAGCCAAAGTCTCGTCGACAACTGCAATAAAGCATTTAAAATGTTTATGACATGCCGATCCGTTGTCTAATACTTGTATTTATTATTTGTCAAGAATGAATGGTCTTACAAATGTCCTTCCAGAAAACATATTTGTCATGTTGAAACCACAATAAGCATAAACGCACCACTAGTTATTTGTTGGTTTGAATCAACCTTGACATATATTTTACAATCGTACAATCATTTTAACATGTACCTAAATATTTTCTGTTTTCATTGTTTTCAAACAATATATCTCTTCTATGTGTTCCTTATTTTATCTCATAATTAATGATCAATTAATAATATAATCAAGTAACACAGATGTTACAAGTGTCAGCAAAAATATTTTTCAATTAAATTCTTTCCAAATCGATATTTCTTACGGTAAATCGGAAAATGCATGGTTGTTTCAACTAATTTGTGGATGATGAACCTTTTACTTGAATAATTTTAGAGGAAAGAGAACGTGAACTCAATGAAATGCGGAAGCTTTATGAACTGACAGAGAAAAGATTGCCAGGCTGTCCCCCACTTGTAAAACAGCTACCACCAAATGAAGACTTCTCGTGTGCATACAAATTTGAAATAGGTGGGAAATTAGCAAAATTAAAGCTAGAAGAAAAATGGGATGAGCTTATATCAGGAGAATTTGAATCCATGGAAGATATAAAGGACGTATTTGGGGTTTTCTTCCCAAAACCTTCAAACTTACAAAGGTAAATGTTTATTATAATAGCCGTGTGGTAAAGGAAAACAATGTTATGACCTTTGGCTTACCTAAAATGTATGTTCTTAAAAATAAAGCTTATCCGCTGAGAATAATGAAAATTAAGGCATAAACTATAAAAATAGTGATTTCTTTGGTCGTCATTGACTTAGATCGAGAAAGCCAACGGCCACAGAAAATGTTTTAATATGTTAAAGGATATGAATATCAGCATATAAATAAAAATACTCAAGTTTACAAGTTTATTTGCATAATCAGGCCTCCGACCCATACACATATATATACAGATCTAAATATGAAGCATGAAGTCAAGGATTATCAATGTCAAATTTCAGTTTATAATACCAAAGCAACATAATACACATTGGCATAAAAACACATTGATTCCTCTCATTAGGCTTACAATATCAACTGTTAATTAATAATGCCTGATACTTACAACACAACCGAAACTTTGCTTAATAATGTATAATATCTAATAAACATTCCATAAAATGTAAGAAATACATGAGCCTTCATTCTCAATAAACTCACAATGAGAGAACATGATAAACCCAGGGGGAAAATCAAAAAGATAATAAAACTGACAGAACATCTTCTCTTTTTTTAAAGAGTAATTAACAAATATGGCTAAGTTTCTAATAACATTTGTACTATCACATGACATCAGCCTGTAAAATGTATCCAAAGCAGGATTATTAATAAATCTTGATGTTATGAATTTTCTCCTGATTTCAGAGTAAAGAGGACATATAAGAACAAAATGAAACTCATCCTCAATAACAGTTTCACAATAAAGACAGAAACGGAAGTCTCTCGGAATATTCTTATATCTACGCTGTTTATTCAATAAATTAAGACATGAACTACGAATTAATGAACAAGCATTTCATAGCAAAGTTTTACATACCTATTTTTTGGTAAATCAAGCAAACGTAACCAATACTTAATACATCGTTTTGCTGAATAAATATCCATTGGGAATCTTCCTAGATCACCTAACATTGCATCATTACATGCATTTGTTTGTACTTTTAAGACTCTTTTACAGGCATAATTTTGTACAATTTCTAAACACTGCGGCTGTTTCATTTTCTATAATTCTGCCCCATGAAGAAGCACAGATGAAACTTTAGAGTCAAATATATTGAAAAAAGTATTTGTAGATAGACCAGAAAAAACCTTGAATTGAACTTAATATAAACATAAGAACCTTTTGGGCCTTAACTGACATAGCTTCAGCCATCTTAAACAAAGATAGTTTATTTGTGAAATACATTCCAACATTATTAAAGCCATTCACTATCTCTAAATTATTGTTTGCATATGACCATCTTTATCTTCTTGCCACACATCCACCCTTTTTTGAATACAAGAACTTTTGTTTTTGATATATTAACAACTAACTTACTTTCAGTGCAAAATTCATATAATAAATTCAATTGTCTTTGAAGACCTACAATAGTGTCAGAAAGGAGAGCGATGTCATCTACAAACATAAGAAAAAATATTTCCATAGTATTTGGAAAAAATTGCCCATCTTTTACATTATTATGACATAAAAGTAATAATCAAGAATACAAGCATAAAAAAATCCGATCTGCCCGGTATTAAATTTCGTATTCTTTACAAATGAGAAAAAAATTGTTTGCAAAAGAAAAAAAATGGAATTGACATACATTTGTATTAATTATGTTCAATTTTTAGACATGTTTTTTTCAAAGTTATCAACATTCATATTTTGTTTTTGATCATAGAATCTACTTCACAAGAGCAAGCATTGTGAAACTACAAACATATTGATTTTATAGAATAATTCGACGTGTAAAAGATAAATATACTTAAGTTTGCTCCATGTATATTAAACCAAATCAGTGGTAAACATGTTAATTAGTAATACATAATTTTATCAAAAACTATTTGTAGGTGGCGGAATGATAAATTATTTGGAATGCAGCGTCTGATGGGTGTAAATCCTGACGTTATTCACCTCTGCACGAAGATTCCCTCAAAACTTCCCGTCAACAATGAAATGCTGAGGCCTTTCCTAGAAATGAATTTGGAGGATGCCTTAACAAAGAAACGTATCTTCATTGTAGATCATGAGATAATGGATGGTTTACCAACAAAGTCGGGCTTTACCATGACCAGCCCCATTGCACTTTTTTATCAACAAAATGATGGTACTCTTATACCGATCGCTATCCAACTATTTCAGAAGCCAGGTGTCGATAACCCTGTGTTTCTACCGAGTGATCCTGAATATACATGGATTCTAGCTAAAATGTGGTTCAACGTCGCAGATGCCAACTATCACGAATCTGTAACACATCTTGGATTTACTCATCTAAAGATGGAGGGAATCGTTGCGATAACACACAGGCAAATTCACAAAACACATCCGATCTATAAGCTACTGATGCCCCATTTCCTTTACCTAATTGCTATCAACTGGACAGGGATTCCAGAACTTATTGGTGACGGAGGATATGTTGTAAAACTGCTTAACATTGGTAGAGAGGGGTTATTGGAACTTATCAGGCGAAAAAACAAAAACTGGCGAATGGACATTGAAGGTACACTTCCAAATGACACGAAAGAACGCGGCTTGGATGACACTTCTTGTTTGCCTGATTATTATTATCGAGACGATGCGATGGAGATATACAATGCGATTTTTGAATACGTAAAAAAGTATTTAGATCTTTACTACCCTACAGATAAGGACGTTATGACAGATCAGGAACTGCAGCAATGGAGGAAGGAAATGGTTGCTCCTGTTGATCAAAAAGGCCTTGGTATGCTCGGTGTGTTTGGAAATAAAGGTAAATTTACTGAAAAGAGCCAGGTTTGCCTAACATTAACGAGTATCATTTTTACTTGCAGTGTTAAACATGCAGCTGTCAACTTCCGCCAGTATGAAGAATATGCATTCCCACCGAACTATCCGCTGACTCTACGAGGGCTTCCACCCAAAACCAAAGAAAACCTCAAACAGGAGGACCTTCTCAAATACCTTCCAAAGAAAGACAGAACATTTGACACATTAGTCATAACAGATGTCTTGAGTACCTTCATTACGCATGCGCTTGGGGACTTCGAAGCTCAGTACATCACCGATGAAAAAGCGCTAAGAATTCTTGCTGAATTCCGAAACGACCTCGCAAACATTGCATATCTCAACAAGAAGAGAAACAATACGGAAAGGAAAATTGAAAAATACTGGGCTTTAAACCCAACGCGTGTCCCGAACTCTATAGCAATATAATTGCATGGCTTACTGACTGTCAAACTTCATTATAAAGCTTATTAATCAGAACATTTTTGTCATGTAAAATATTACACTACTGATGAAAGTATCCTATTAAAAACACGTGAACAAAACCCAAAACGTCTTTGTATATTGGAATACATAAATTTGACAAACCCGACCTTCACATGTACATAAGTAATGCCTTTATGGATCGTGTCTTTTGATATATTTTGCACATAGGTTGATGTGTGGTTATAATGTATTATATAATCTAGACTTTATACTTATGGTTTAGGGTTTCTTTTCTCTCTATATATTCGGATTTGTTAATTTTTCTAGCGTCTTGATAGTAGTGTTGAAGTAATTTAAAGTGAGGAATTATATTATACTTGATAGAAGCAGAAATATTCATTACTTTATCATTTTGTCACCATTGTATTTTGTTGAATGACAAGATTGATCAGTTTATAACAATTTTGCGTATAATCAGTACCAATAGACGACTTATCCTTAAAGTTTTTATAGAGCCTACACACTGAATATTGGCGGGAGGAAACGGAGAAACAACACTGAAGGCAATTATTATTTTAGTACTTTGTTTATATTGATAAACTCCTCTTCGCTGAATGATATTCATTTCAGACCAAAACTATAGACATGAAAAATGTTTTTTCGGTTATTAGTTCTTTTAAAAAAAGTGTTGTTTTATGTAAGTTTCTCTGTAGTGAACTTAATAGATAAAGAATAATCGTTGATCTAATTGTGTAAATACGAAAACTTTTTATTCTAATATGTTCACTTATTTAATTTAAAAATGATCAAACATATGTATACATTGTATTCCAATAATGAAATCAAACAATTGGTTTTGATATTTATTTTTGAACGTCGAGTTGGAGTTGGTTGAAATGAGTTGGTTAGTTTTGGAGTTAGTTTTTGATAGTTAATTGAAGAAATGTATTTGTTGAAGTTGTTAAGAATTTTACTTTGGTTTTGACTGTTGATAGAAAATAAAATTATGCATTATTTTGGTTTACTGCAATAAATATTATCCTGCTTTCACTTGGACTTGACTTATTTATTATACCATCATAAAAAAATGGTTTACTTTTAAGCGAAAAGAGTGAATAAACAAAACTTTTCACAAAAGAGAAATTTTTGCAACCAACGCTGTTCGTCCTTCTGTAAGCAATTTGGTGTTAAGTCTGTATTTTTCCAACCGATGGAAACGAATTGAAACTACTTGGCAAAATGATCCGATGTGCATAGCGAAGGCTTTACCTTCCTCTAGTTCAGGTCAAAGGTCACATTTAGTCATTATGTTTGAATTTCAAAATTCCGTGTCCACTCTGTATCTTTTAGCCATTGAAGGAAATTGATACTGTTTGCTGACTTTTTTCTTATAATGAGATGAGACTTTCAGGTCTCTCATTCCCAGATCAAAATCACAGGTGGCAGTATCAGTGTTTGGACACCCCACCCCTATCTGCCCCTGGACCCCTACTACAACCCTGAAAAAAAAAAAATTCAACACTCTAAGGCTAACTATAAGGTACCAAATACAAAACCACCGATGAAATTATATATAAATTTTTTTTTTCCACTATCAAAATTATAGTTATAGAAAGGTGAAAAGCCTACTATATGTTCATTTGCCAAAAATGTGGAACACGGGAAATCGTCGTTTCGGCGACTGAGGCGCATTCCGGCAGGATTTCGCTGCATCATTCATTAACATTAATAAAAAGAACTAGAATTCCACAGCTTATCTAATTCAAGTCTAACGAATATCACTATCATTCCGCTTTTTTCTGTTTCACGGTATTTTTATGCCACCGCAGCATCTGCGATGCGGTGGCATATAGCGATTCACCTGTGTGTGTGTGTGTTTGTTTGTTTGTGTGTTATATAGATTATATAGTGAACTTAAAAAATCTTCTTGTGAAAAACCACTTGTCCAATTTCAACCAAACTTGGCAGGATTGATCCTTGGGTGAAGGACTTCCAAAGTTGTTCAAAGAATTTCATTCCATGCAGAAATCTGGTTGCCATGGCAACCAAAAGAAATTGTAAGAATAAATTTTAAAAAATCTTCTTGTAAAGACCCAAAAAGCCTAGAGCTTAGATATTTTGCATAAGGCATTGTCTGGTAGACCTCTACAAGAATTGTTCAAATTATAGCTTTGGGGTCAAAATTGGCCCCGCCCTGGGGTCATTGATTTTCACTATATGTACATATAGTAAAAACTTAAAATACCTTTTCTTGTAAAGACTCAAAAGGCCTAGAGCTTAGATATTTTGCATAAGGCATTGTCTGGTAAGACCCTTACCAAGATTGTTCAAATTATAGCCCTGGGGTCAAAGTTGGCCCCGCCCCGGGGGTCATTGATTTTCACTATACGTACATATAGTAAAAACTTAAAATATCTTCTTGTAAAGACTCAAAAGGCCTAGAGCTTAGATATTTTGCATAAGGCATTGTCTGGTAGACCTCTGCCCAGATTGTTCAAATTATAGCCCTGGGGTCAAAAACGGCCCCGCCCCGGGGGTCATTGGTTTTTCCTTATATGTATAGAGTAAAAACTTATAGTAAAAACTTTAAAATAAAATTCTTCTAGCAATTGACAAATGCTAGAGGTTAGATATTTTGCATGAACATTGTGAAGAGAATCTCTAGCAAGATTGTTCAAATTATAGCCCTGGGGTCAAAATTGCCCCTGCCCTGGGGGTCATTGATTTTCAATATATACATATAGTAAAAAATAAAAAAATCTTATTGTCTGAAGGTACAAGGCTTAGAGCTTTAATACTAAAATTTTGTTAAATGATATCATCTAAAGGTACTCTACCAAAGTTGTTCAAATTTTGCCTCTAGTGTCAAAATTGCCCTGCCCTGGGGGCCATAGGTTTTCCTTAAATGTATATAGTAAAAATGGGAAGAAAGCTACAGCTTAGATATTTGACTTAAAATGTTGTTTTGGTGGACCTGTATCAAGATTGTTTTGAATGAAACCCCTTGGCCTTGCCCCAAGGGGACAGTGACCTACTTTCTTGTCCTTTGATGTACAGCTATGAAATTTTGACCATGTGCACAGTTTTAGTTGTAAAATTGAACTTTGATATCAGGTGACCTAGATTTTGATGATGTGACCTACTTTCTTGTCCTTTGATGTACAGCTATGAAACCATGTGCACAGATTAAGATGTAAAGTGAACTTTGATATCAGCTGACCTAGATTTTGACAAAGTGTCTTTCTGTGTTGTCCTTTGATGTAGTCGTGAAATTTAAGCTGTGTGAAATATGACCTTCACCACCGAATTCACTAGACTCAAGTGCATTGGTATATTCCTACTCTGATCTTTTATTGGAATAACAATATATTTAACCACTAATCTGATAATAAGAATTAGATAGGTCAGGGATCTATGCATTATGACAATCTTCAATTGTAAAGAAACAAAAAAAATCTATTCCTACACCACTATTTAGTGTTGTATTAATGCGGTGGCATAGCATTTTTCTCAAATGCAATCTTGTTTTAATTGTCGTAGCCATTTTTCAGTCTGATACCTGCGTTGAAATACGCGATCTGATTGGACGAGCCAAATTTGACGTCCAACCAAATTACGTGTAACATATAGGTATCAGAATCCAAAATGGCAGCGACAAGTCAAAAATTACCGTGAAATAGAAAAAAATCGATAGAATATTGATATTCGTTAAACTTGAATTAAGTAAGCTGTATAATTTAACTTCTTTTTTTTTGATGTAAATGAATGATACAGCAAAATGCCTTCGGAATGCGCCTCAGTCGCCGAAACGACGATTTCCCGTGTTCCACATTGTTTGGCAAATGAACATAAAGTAGGCTTTTCACCTTTCTATAACTATAATTTGGAAGTGGAAAAACAAGTTTTTTATATATATTTTTTTTTCAGGGTTATAGTAGGGGTCCAGGGGCAGGTCAAAACACTGATACTGCCACCTGTGATCAAAATTTGCTCGCCGCGGGAGTCACTTGATTTATATAGTTTTATATATGAAAACACATTTATATCTTATTTTGTGAAACTAAAATGTTCAGAAATTACATATCTGTCATGGAGCATTATGTTATTACTCCCTGGGTCAAGGCTAATATAACGCTTGTATAAGATCACTAGGGCAGGACCAATATTAACCCAAATAGCATGCTTTATATCACTTTTGTAGAGGTCCACAAGGCAATTTCACATGCAAAATATCTAAGCATGGTCACTGTAGTTTATCATTAACTGTCAAGTGTCAACAAAACGTTATAGTTAGTCTACAGTTACATTTCACTACAGGAGGGACACAAAAAGTTGTCTACCCGCCTGATGGCCTTGACAGGTGTACAAAATGACAAGTGAACCAAACCGGAACATTTCTCACACTGTTAACAATTATGATATGTGGTCGCTTACTTACTTCTGGGCTGAAATCTTTGCTTACAATACACTTTTCATTTTCTTCAACATTTTCTTCATATGAGCTTTCACAATAATTCTCAATAAGAGCATTAAATTTTCTTTTTATAGATATTATATTATACCCCCTTACGTCCGTCCGTCTGTCTATCTGTCTGTCCGTCCGTCTGCCCATCCGTCCGTTAGCAATTCGGTTTCCGGAGCATAACTTAATTTCCATTTGGGCCACAATATTCAAACTTCATAGGATGATTGTCCATATTGGGTAAAAGACCACTATTGATCTTGGGGTCACAATGTCAAAGGTCAAGTTCACTATGAAAACAGTTTCCGGAGCGGGTAACTGATGCCTGCATTCCAGTTAACGCACTGTACATGTATATGTAAACGATTTAACTCTGACACATTTTCAACAGAAAGGTCCACAAATTATGATACAAGAGATGCATAGATTACAGGTATTCGAAGATATCTTACGATCACGAAAGAATAAACGCATTGGCTGCTGTTCCGATGCCTCAACCCTTAAAGGCAACACAAACGCTGAATTTGAAATCATAAAAACCACATTAATATTCCAACATTCCTGTAGAACTACAGTATAGGTAATTAAATACACATGTTTCAACTTAATGATATCAGAGCAAATTAGTTTTATATAGTCAGTTGAGTAAGATTCCTATAATGCAAAAACACATTTAAGACGCATTGACAAATGAGCCAAATTATTTCTCAAGAAAATCGAGCTTTAGAAAATGTACCGAGAATTTATAAAAAATAAAGCGACCTAAGAATCAAGTAAAAATAATTTACATGGTGTGTGCCATTAATGCCATGAAGTATTCATCAACATATTGTTACTGATTTACTAACTAAGTAAGGGCAATGTTTTTGCATATTTTGATCTATTTTCGGTTATTTACAAGAAATGTATTTGTTGTTTGAAATTTGTAAATTATTTTCTTTGTTTACTTAATAGTACATTTTCATTTTCTGATGAAAATAAGCATGTATAAGGAAGCATGCTGCTAAAATCTGTAGTTGCATAAATAATATATTTTGTTTTTGGTAGTTCAGCTAGAATGTTTCCATTACATAAAAGATGAAACTCTTGTGAGACTGCATCAATGCAAGGGCATTTTATTTTTGTTTACCTGCACGAAGCACGTCATATTCCTACATTAACTTTACATTAAATCCTTTTGTGATATTTATTTTAAATGAATAGGAATGGATGGATTGATGTCTGTCTCATATAAATATTCATCATTTAAAAAGAGGAACCATGACAGTTTTTCTGTTGACATCAACCCTATAAGCGAGACATTCGTGTTTTAAGACACTTTTTTTTTACTTGAGAAATAAGTTCATGGGCGCCGCCATTTTGGTGTTCTGTCACATTAAATCCTTTTATGATATTTATTTTAAATGAATAGGAATGGATGGATTGATGTCTGTCTCATATAAATATTCATCATTTAAAAAGAGGAACCATGACAGTTTTTCTGTTGACATCAACCCTATAAGCGAGACATTCGTGTTTTAAGACACTTTTTTTTTACTTGAGAAATAAGTTCATGGGCGCCGCCATTTTGGTGTTCTGTCACTCTCGC